CAGAAGATTGACTGTGTGTGGACATCTCTGCTGCTGAAAAGATGGTGTCTGTGCAGCACCAGGTCCACAATGCACTTGGTCTTAATGACTATAGGTCTGTGCCCTTTCTGTTGCATCTTTACCCTGTACAGCCTCAATGGCTTTGCGCACTTAAGATTTACCATGAAACAGTAGTTTAAAAATAATGGTGAACCATTTTAACCGCAGCCCAAATGTAATCTATCAAAGTGAATGATGCTGTAAAATGCATGAGGCTGAGAAAACTAATGAGAGAGCAGCTTTTCAAGCTACCAAAGCATTCCTCCTGTGCTGGAGCTTTGGGTTGCTTGAACGAAACCACAGGTGAGAAAACACAACCCATTGTGTGGGAGCTACCACCAAAGCCTCTTGGTATTTTCTATGTTGCTTTGTAGAAGTGCATCACTTCAGTCTTTACAAATCCATAATACTCTCAGGAACCGATAAGCCATGGGCAGGTGACCACTCCAGCTGTCACCAGTTACATTAGTATTATACGTATATTCATATACATGAAGGCTTGAAACTGTTATGTCCTTAATACCACTGAAGCAGCACTGCACTGTGCTCTATACCTCTCTCCTGTCTTACTGCACACAGGCTGCTGTGTAGCTTTCACTTTGGTTAAACCTGTGTTTTATAGACTATATATTTGCCAAGGAACCTTTCTCAACAATACTCTCATCTGATCAGATGATGACATGACTGTTACAGAGTCTAGACTAAGGACGACTTGTAAATAGATCTTCTGCTGGATGCAGATAATAGCACTACTGTGTTTAGTACATATAAAGAATGTCCTCTCTGTGGCCTGTTCCGTGTCCCAAATAAATGACCTATTATGCATGATGCTTTCTATGTGACTGTATGTGACGTGAGATTGTAAAGTCTTTTGTATTGCATTAGTCTGGATTAAATGAACTATTAAAACGTACAATTAAACGAAGCATTGTGTTGTTTGTTTTTGTTATTATTTTGTGTTGAAGTCACATCTTGCAAATGGTAGTCAGTGTCATATTGAGACTCGGATCTTTGTAGAGCCAGAGTGTGCTTTTCTTAAGGTATTTTAATAAAACCAACCCCTCTTTGAACATTTCATTAAAAACAACAATAAAACATATTTTGATTTTTTAAATTATCTTTAGGGGACTGTTTTAATTCTTATTTTCACACTCTTTTGTTCTGTCTACCATGTTCCGAGCAGAGCAGGTAGACTTCTGGACCATCTCTGGAGCTCCCTTCTCTGGTCACTCATCTGTGAAACCCTCAGAAGATGAGGCAGACTGACAGAGAACAACACAAGTTAGAATCCATTGAATGTTGTGTTTAAACATGAGTAAAAAATTCACACCGCTTAAATACCAATCCATCCATGGCATAGACATCATCTCTAGGCTATAAAAGTGTAAATTCATACGGGCAACACATTTCAACATCCAGGTAATATTATTGTTAAGGATACACATTCATTAACAGTTGAAGTATATTTTTTACAGTTTTGCTACAAGCTCCAGCTAACTCTCAGGGGATACATGGGAAACTTGTTCTAAAGTCCATTTACTTCTGTATTTCAACTGTGTTTCAACAATGTGAAACTTATACACAAGCTGGACATTTTTTGCATTATTGATAATTGGATACTATGAACTTCTCATCACCGGACCCAAGTCACTTCCCTCTGCTCGACACATCTCCCTCAACATTGACGGCCATACAGTCACCCCCTCCCCCTCTGTACGCTACCTCGGCGTTATTACGGACTCCACCCTCTCAATTAAACCCCACATCGTCCTCATCTCATAAGTATCGTTTTTCCTTCTCTCCTCCCCTCCCTCTCACAATCCACTGCGGTAATCCTCATCCACGCCTTCATCACCTCCAGACTGGACTACTGCAACAGCCTCCTTAACGCTCCTCTCAACAGTCTCCCTTCCATTCATGTCCAAAAACTACAAACTGCAACTGCTCACCCAGAGACCACATCACCCCCGTCCTCAAACATCTCCGCTGCTTCCTGTTCCATACCTCATAAATTACAGGGTCCTCCTCCTCACCTACAAGGCCCTCCATAACCTGGCCCCCTCTTACCTCACTGACCTCCTCCATCATCTCTGTACCTCCCGCCACCTCAGAGCCACAGACTCCAATCTCCTCACTCCCCTCAGGACTAAACACCGAACCTTGGGGGACCGATCCTTTACTGCACCTGCCCCCACTCTCTGGAACTCACTCTCTAAACCTATCAGAAACTCGACTCACTACTGAACTTTACATCACTTCTCCAAACCCACCTGTTTCAGCTTGCTTTTCCTAAATTTTTGCTCTTCTATGTGTTTTGTAAAGCGTCTTTGAGCGTCCAAAAAAGCTCTATACAAGTTTGATGTATTATTAATATTCATTATTATGTTATACTTCATTTTGAAGCTTATTTTCTAAGTAAAACTTCAATTACATCTCGTTGATGAAGAGTTTGTGTAAGCTCTCAGTCGTACAGGTATTATTCAAAATAAAAGAAAGGTTGCTCACCCATAATCTACTTCCTTTAGCAGGTTTTCCGACGTTTCGTTCACAATCTTTAGACTTTTCTCAAGAAAATTAAAGCTCAGGCACGAGTTGGAGATCTTCTTTTGAAATTTTGAACAATTGTGGTTGAATCCAAACTCACCAGAAAATACCAAACTCATATAAAAGAAAACCACTTTTATACTTTTGCCCCCAACCAGCTCTTATGTTTTTAAATTTGGCCCAATATGAGTTTGACACCCCTGTTGTAGTTGAAGGCTTTATTTTCTATTGTCTGTAGAACTATTTGCTCTATGCCTGATATATTAAGCCACTTCTAGATTTTTCTATAACATTAGATAACAAGCCTTTATTTGGTATATTCAGAAGTTTGACTCTAAGCCATAATCATTTAAATTAAAAGAAAGACTTGGGATATGTAACTTAGTCTACATCATGTATTGGTTTCACATTTAAAACTGTTTTACAGAGATTTATTGAATAATACAGAGTTTCACCTGTAGATACAGTATTACCTGTGACTCATTGTGTTGAAGAAAGTCTGGACTTGCTCTGAGTCCGGCTCCATGCTTTGGTCCGGTCTGGTCTGGTGCAGTCCCCCTGCTTTCCACCTCTGCTGGATTATCACACCTGCCCTTGGAGCTTTTTTTAGTCTAGTCAAATTCTTCCGTAAGCACATTCCAGGACTGGATATATTTCCTCACCTTGGATCTTGATCTTCGCCACAAAAACCAGCAGTGGTAGTTTGTAAATGTACATTTAGAGAAGCATTTAAGGAAGAAATAAAGTGTGTCTGATTTCATGAACTTTTAAGTATGTAAGTACGGAAGTAAGTGAGGAATCTTTATCTATATAGCGCATTTTTACAAACCAAGGTCACTCAAACCGATCTAAATGCAGATCCATCATGCTTTGGGGTTGTGTTGAGTCTAAAATCACTAGAATCATTGTAGTGTTTCTCTTAATTCTAGTTAAAACAGACATCAACACACTTCAGCTGGACTCCCAAGATAATTAACTTCTTATGTTTCCTTGTAACAGGTCCCAGTGTAACCATATAACCATATGTGAGTGTGCCCAGGTGTTTTGAAAGGCACTTTTAAATCATATGTTTTATTATGATCTTACATCTTCTTCCTGGGTTTGAATCCAGGTCGGAACAGGGCCTTTCTGAATGGAGTTTTCATGTTCATAGGTTTATTCTGGGTGCTTCGGTTTCCTCTACCACCAAAACATGATTTGGGGCTTTGATGCACCAGTGAGAGAATGGAACATTGTAAAGTGCTTAGGATGACCTTGGTCTGTATAATGTGCTGTATAAATAAACATTACTGACTTAAGTTTCAGTACTTCTCCGCCAGCTTTAAACTATTGCATTTACATTTGATACTACATCTAAATTTTCATTGATAGTTCCACTAATCTGGAAGTAGTAACCCTGTTTTCATAAAGTACACCTTGGATCAGGTGCTTTCTATACAACATTTAAAGAACCTGGGATTTTAAACTTCAGCTGAAAAACTACACCACCTGATCTGCTGTCACCCCCTTTACCCGGCTACTAAACATTTACATTAACCAATTTATTAGAAATTAAGATATAAGATATATGTACAGTATAGTAATAATAAAGTAAGGTAAATAATAAAGTCAAGTTGTGGTGTATTAAATACAAGACGCATTATATGATATTTGGGATTTATTACAATAAAATCCAACCATATATATATTATTTATATAAACTGTTAATTGTAATAATAAAACATTTTTTACAAATCAAATCAAATTATCACCCTACTGCAGAATGACGAATCCGGTTGCCAGTTTTAGTTGATTGCATGAAAAGGAAAGTAATAAACGACAACATAAAAAAGACAAAAACCATGACACGATCAACAATTTCTTCATAAAAAAGCTTTACAAACTTGTTCAAATGGCTCAGTGACAGTGACACCAGGCCCACTGTACATTTCCACGTTCAATATTGACACACCTCACTTTAGCAAGAAGCTGATTCATAAACGGTCGCCACGGTGACGGAGTCTGCATGTAAACTCTTATGAACTCAAATAACGAGGCCTATACTCTGCATAGATTTGTGCAGCGGTGTTCAGTCACATCAGTCGTCTGGACCGGATTTCAGCCCCGCACTGTTTTGGTCCCTCACTAGAATAAGAGCTTCATCATACATTGTCCACAACCAAAGACATTAAAAACAACCAAAGCAGCAAAGTACAGTACTTTGTTATAATTAGATGATTATAAAACCCGGCAGCAGTGATGGCAGCAGGCACAGGTTGCATCAAGAACATGTAAACCACTGCATACTGTACTTTCCAACAGTGTTACGCTGCCATCCCTTATATATAAAAACACCTTACTGTTTGCTCCTGTGGACTGGGACAGGTTGACTGGGACAGGTCGGCTTGTTCATGCCTGGGCGTTTGAATCGATCATTTTCACACCACTTCATCGGACTCCAGGTTGTATTCTTCATAAAAGCCGTCTAGAATGTTCAGCTGCTTGGACATGGCCGGCAGGTACAGCCCTAAGTCTCTGTGCATGCCGCTGGTGAAGGTGGCCCTCAGCTCATCCCCTTGTCTGGTCACTAAGGCAGCTGTGAACCCCTCGTACGACGGGGCAGCTCTCAGGGCCAACTGACCACAACAACACAAATATAAAAGTTACAACCCACAGAATATCGTGCATTTATCCGTTAGTCACACTTGTAAACACAACACACCGCAAAAACCCCTCGAACGACCCATCCGTGGTATCGCCGCAGGGTCTTCCCGTAGGCGTTATCTGAAACACAAGAGATGGTGAGCCGCGTGCCGTGCCTGAGAACACATTCTTTACTGCTGCTGTCAGACTGTACGACGAACAATGAGGACTGACAAAACACTGCCGACCTGACCTCACATGTCGTGCGTCTGTGCAATAACTTGAACTAATGGCAGAATGTGCGATATGAAACCACATGTGTCACTGTTACTTTACTTTGTCACTTTGTCCCAGACCCTCATGCGGCTAATGTACAGATGTAAACATACTACATATCTATGCGCAAGACATTTACAGTACTTCTTTAAGATGCTAAAGTCAGAGATTTTGTACTTAATTCTTGCTTCTTATTATAGATTATAGACTGCTTCCTTATTATCCCAAAGCTAGTGTTTTTATTTAGTCATTTTATTTAGTATAGAGCTGTGTTAATGTTCTTATCCTGTGCGGTATTCATTTACTTTGTGCTGTTTCCTCATTCCTACTGTTTTGTTTTGCAACACGTACATTTCCCCACTGCGAGACAAATAAAGGATCTCTTAATCTTTTTCATCATGCTAATGTTGGAGATTTTAGATTTGCTTCCTAATTATCACCCGATGACCCCAGTGAAGCTTTCAACCCCTCCTTCCCCATAAATTGGCGTCACTATTGATACTGATACACGCCTCAAATCTCGAGCACCTAATCTCAGGGATTTTTCCATCAAGACCTATAACAGAAGTTATACTAAAGCTAGAGATGTTATGCTTGCTTCTTGTTGTATGCTAAAGTTAGAGATTCTATTTTCATTTATATTAGTATAGAGCAGGGATGTCAAACTGATTTTGGTCAGGGGCCAAATTAAAAATACATAAGAGCTGGTTGGAGCCAGAAGTATAAAAGTTGTATTAATGATTTGTTTTATTTGTTTTTTTAATTGAAATTCACTGTATTTGGCCTGAGTTTGGATATTATCTAGTTTTGATTTAACCACATCTGGGCCAAACATCAATAAGAGATGTATTGGAAGACGGCTAATAAAATAAATACAAAAATAATGAAGTAACTATAACTTCTAATGACATGCTAACTAATAGAACAGATACAATCTTATAGTTTTTTTTTTTTTTAAAGGGACAAAAGGCTTTAAGTATGAAGTATTACGCAGTATATGCCAAAGTAGCCCCTTACCATCAATGCTGTAAGTTACTGCGATAAACATAAATGAAAATCATTCCAAGGGCCACTAACATTTCTTGTATAGAGTCATGGTTCATTTCACAGTGTCGTGTGCGCCTCATTCCTACTGTTCTGTAACCTGAGATGCAACACTGATATTTCCCCACTGTGGGACAAATAAAGCATCTGTTCATCTTAACTCTGCCTGGACTCACTCAGAGCTCTCTGGATGTCCTGCTGCCCTGCGTCCACCTCACACAGAAACTCCATGAGGAACTTGAGGCCCCTCCGCAGCCACAGCAGCGCCTCGGTGGCAGAGTTCCGCACCTTCTCCACCTCCTGGTCCATCTCATGCACCACTATGGACTGAAGGGTCGGGAAGCTCTCTGGGTCTGACATCAGCTTCTGGTGAATCTTCTGTTGGAACAAAAGCCACTGGTCAAACAAGCAACAAGTGAAGTATATGTATATGTATGTATGTATTAGTACAATAGGGTCAGACCTACCTTAATATTTCCAACAAAGTCCATTTTAACTGGTGCAAAGACTGTAGAGCCCAATTTGTCTAAGAAAAAAACCCATACAATGTTTATGATGGTCATTAAAACACTTAAGACTGTTTAATTTATATATGCAGTTTAAAATGATGCGAATATCTTGTTTATTGATTATAAATATTTGTTATAATTGACAAATGATATTAAAATTATCTTGTAAGCCAAAGATGTAATGGAAACGGTTTATTCATAATTAGATAACATATAAGTTTAGTATTAGTTATTATATTTGTAAACAATATGGTAGTAAGAATATGTGAAGAGCATGTTGGTTGCAGACAAATAGATACATAAATTAAAAGATTAAATGATTGATTCGGTCAATTTTAACAATACTTTTCTGCAGTATGAGACTGTGGCGTGTTCCCTTCAGCCGTCACATGCACCGGCCGCCAAGAGGTGGTAATGGACAGAGGAAGAGATGAGAAAAGAAAGAGGCTACTAAAATGTCCGCCTACCTAATACTGGTACTATTGCATAGCATGAGTCCAAAAACTCTTGTGTTGGGATACCATTGTCGTCGTCCAGGCTTATATCACTAAATCTACAAAAAAGATTCAAACAGGGAAGATATTAGATTGAATTGATCTGTTTTATTTACAAACTGCAAAACAAAAAGATACAGACATTCAGACAAAGCAAGAGAATACAGCATGCAGCAACACTAAAACGCTCTGATATCATTTCCTTCTACTTCAATGTATTTAACTCTATAAATAATAGCTTGATAGTAACTAAATATTAGTTATTTTTTTCTACACCAACAAAGTGACACTCTCAAAAAGTTTAGTCTACAATAAAAAAAGAGAAATTGTGACATAAAAACTTTACAAACCAGCGATAGTTGAGGGCCTCTCTGTGTCATGTGATCAAAAAGAAAACACTATATAAAACACTTATTTTTGTACATACTAATAAATATAAGTTGCTTGATACATACATGTTTGGTCCGCTGAAACAGTAGCTGTGCATATTCACAAAACTGGCTACAAGTTCTAAGTGGTTGAGAAAAGGGGCCTCATTTATAAAATTTGTTTACACACACACAAGCGCCCCCTGGTGGAAAGTGCTTATCCCTGTGACCTCTGAACCTGGGGCAGACTGGCTTCCACTTTGGTGCAGTTCCCGGCCAACCATTGCGCCATGTGTTAAATGCTAAATATCTAATGTGTGGATTTATATAATAGAATTTCTTTCTTTATACATATTTTCATATTTTGTTTACCATTTGTTTCCAGCGTACATCAAAGCAAATTCCTAGTTTGTGACTTCCTGTGACTTACAATGGCAAAACAAAATAATTCTGATTCTGAAATGAACTTGTAAATGGAACGACCGGCCTTAAAGATGCATTCACGTAACATCACAACATTCTAAAGAGTCTCTGGTTTAAAATTGTAGTGGCGTTACTATGGAAACGGTCATCTCTAGTCCAATCCACATGAAACAAAGTCACAAAGTTGCACATCTTCTTTGTTAGTTTATACCACTATGGCCTAATTATATTCCATTATTGTATCCATTATGAGGTCAATAAAGTATAACTCTCTCATGGCATTCCCATTAAGGTGTCTAGACGTGGTGACAATGTTCAAAAACATATGTGGGATGTTGGCCAATAAAAATACTTTCAGACATAAGAATAATATGATTTGTTTGTGAATCAGATCCTTGGTTCCCTTGGAGCTGTATTTTTGCACCTGCCCTCCAACCGATATAGAATTCTAGACCTGGAAACTAAACTAAAGACTCACTCATTTGGATTTTTCTGGTTTTTATTTATATTTGTTTAGTTGTGCAATTGGGTCACTGTCTTGTATTAAAGTACTGCATTAATAAATGTCCTTAGTTGCTTCCTTCTGCAAAATTAATGTGACAAGTCTCTGTTCTGGTGCAGCCGACTGGTGATGAAACAAGACTGTCTAATAATAGGTGTGAGGGTACAACATTTGACTTTTAATAAATCCATGTGCCTCTCCGTCTTTCCTCGCTCAGTCAAACACACTGATTATGAGGCCAACAGATCTCAGTCACTTTGCACTTTTGCCTCAAACAGTGATGTGGAGAACGCAGATTTTGATAGCAGTAAGAGCTTGCTTAACAGAGTTCCTATCCGATCCTTTGTAAATGAGGTCACACATCCTTGCATTAGCAGACAGTACCAGGAGCTCACAGGATATGACTCTCCACGGGGGCATGGTCGTACCTGTGACTCATTGTGCTGAAGAAGGTCTCCACTTGCTCTGAGTCCTCGCTCTCTGCTGGCTCTTGCAGTTCATTTCCTTCTGGGTCGAGGACGTCAACCTGTTGGTGAGTGTTGAGGGTGTTGTTGTTGTCCCTCTCCACGCTCTGGTCCTCCTTCTGCTTCTGCTCTATGCTCCACTTGGCCTCCTCACAGCCCGTCACTGCTGCTGGGGCATCACATCTGCCATCGGAGCTATTCTCAGGAGAGTCTTTCTTCTCATCGTTTGAGTTCTTGTTGTTAGCTGCCTTATTGTCTGCAGAATGATGAAAACATGTGTTAGTGAGTAATGCATATTTAAGAACAGGATAAAACAGAATCCTGTTTATTATACACTCCCATCTTTCCACGAGACCCACCCGAAGGCTGTGGTAAAGGGTGCACGCCCAGAGGCATCATAAATATGCTTCATCTAAATGAATTGCCCCTAAGAGATCAATAAAGTTGTCTCAATCTGAAATCCTCTTGATTTAATTGAATTACAACAGGCGTCTCTAAACTTTATCGAGAGATACTTTTACAGAAGCTTCTCGTTTGTGCGACCGATAGAAATGGAGTGAGCTTTAGATAAAACATATTTCATATTTTCCATGTATTGGTGTAAGATGAAGAAATCATTGAACATTGTTGTAAGCTAAATCTTTTGGGCATCCCCTTGAGTCAAAGATGTAGGCAGGATATAGGCAAGACTGGTTTGTCTCGGTCATCTTAAACTATATCAATCCTGTTTATATCGACATATATACTATACTGTATACTATTGTTTGAAATCCTACAAAACACTGATGGTGAAAGAGGAGTTAGCTGCTTTAAGGACATCATTATGGACATTTTGAAAGCAAACCAAAGCACACCCTGGTCCAACAATGACAACCACAGATCAACACTAGGTTAAATCCTCCAGCTCAGGTTGTCCTGACCAAGCCAAGCATCAACATCTGGAGATGGGTTCCCGAGAGCTGTACTACGGCGACCACTGCTCCTGACGTAAGCCTTGGCGGCATCAGGATGGGTCAAATGCAGAGGATTGAATTGCCTTACGGGGATTAATAAAGTGCACCTTTACCTTTACACTCAACAATCTGGTAAATTTTCCATGAAACAAGTCCAAGACAAATAAGTGCAATTACACTTTAATGGTTGTATGCAATGGAAAATAACTAGTATCCTTCTACCACATAGTTGGAATTGCAGGATCAGTCAATTGTTTTACCTGAATGGAGAGAGATTCTTGATATTTCAGGTTCTTCTGGTCCCTCTGGTCCGGAGTCGAGACTCTGGTTGTCATGTGCAATTGTTTCTCCTGGGCTTTCTGGCAAATCTCTCCATCTGGTTAAAGAGGACATTGTTTTATTGTCTTACAGACTTTATTAAACTGTTAATAAAACAACACGACCTACTTTTCTCCTATATTTTGCTTTAAATGGTTGATAGGTCTAATCTGTAAGGAAAACAATGAAGAATGCTTTTACATTTTTGATTTCTCCACTGGATTCTTAAGAGTGGAGCACACACACCTTTTGTGGTTTAATAGCTGCTACTGGAGGAGATCCTGGTGGGCTTTGTGTTGCCATTTCAGTGTTGAAAGTACGGTTAGCTATCTGCATGCACTCTTCTAAAGTCTTCAAAAAGGTTGTGCAAGTGGATTTAACCATATCTCCCGTGTCCATGCCAGTCTGAAAACAGAAAACAGACTCTTCAAAAAGGGAGGCGTCTCGACAAATGAAATAAGGAGCGTGGAGTCAAAACACTGGAATGCACTGCAGGCTTCTTGAGGCCTTTTGTGCGTTTGTCATTCTATATGAACTGCTGCTTCTCATATTTCCTGAGTTTATGCAAAAATCTAACTTACCTCAGCTGGATGCTCAAGCTCATCACTCTCCTTGATTTTGTTTACTTGCTGTAGTAGCAGGTCACAGTATAGCCGGAGTTCTGACATCTTAGTTTTCAATGCTTCTGTACTCTCTTGAAGCTCTGAGCAAGTGACAAAAACACAAGATACATTTTATTCAGTGCAGAAATTACCCCCAAAAGAACCACAATTCATCTTGATTTGAGCACCTTGAAACTCTCTTAAAAGCTGTTTTTGTCATTAAAATTAAAAAGAGCATTATCTAGTTTGCCCCATTTCACATGATACATCTTTGGGTAAAATACATTTGATAGAGAAATAGTTTGGTAACTCATGCTAATCCTGAATTGTGTCATTGTTTCTCTTAACCACAAAGCCTATGTAATACAATGTATTAGACAAGGTTGAACTAACTCTCAAAATAGTTTGGTTCTATTGCTAGTTTTTACATTTATTATTTAGTATTTTTGGCCTCTGTCACATCCATAGAACAGGTTCTTCAGACAGAAAAGATGAAAAAGAGCCACCCTGTCTCAACCAATCAGCTCTCAGCCCAAAGTGCCACATAATGACTCACAGGGTTCTTTCTTCCAAGTACGCAAAAGAGAACATGTTTTCAGGATAAGATTAAGGCGGCATTCTAGACTAATTAATTTTGCTTGCAACAAACAAAGTGTATTATTTATGAGAAAAAAGTTAGGTAACCCATTTGTAAGTAAAAGGCATTTTATACTTGTCCCATTGACACATATTGTTTAAGGACAGTAACACACACTAAAAATGTTGTAGGACATATAATGGTTGTCAAATCTTATAAAAGAAGTTATTTCAATTTTGTTTTCATGAGTGTTTAGTAGTAGTAGTAGTAGTTTATTTGTTCAGTCACTTTTTCACAACTCAGACAATACAGATCATTTGAAAAAAATAAAGTAAAAAGTAAAGTTGACTGAAAGGGTTTAGGCTGAAGTGAAACACTTATAGAAGCCTAACCCTACTATAGCTTACTATAACCAGAACAACTAAAACAGCAACAATTAGCTTTCAGCATGGAAAAACAATAGAAAATACATATCTATATTTTTGCAGAAAAGACATGTAGGTAAATGAGGATTCATACAAATTGTTTTGATGATATAAACAATATTATAATGGTAATAATAATAATAATAATAATAATAATGTTGATAATTGCTTTAATATTATTTATTTATTCTAATTCTCTATATTTATTTATAACATGAATTTTAAGGACATTTTTGAAATTCTTGATGGATGTAGTTTTCTTTAGTGACTCATCCAGACCATTCCAGACAGCAACTCCTCTAACTGAGACACATCTACACTTTGCTTTGGTCCTGGCAGTGACCCTTTGGTAAATGTCAGTTCCTCTAAGATTATAATTTGATTCTCTGGTGTTGAACCTTTCCTGGATGCATTTAGGGACATTCTGATTGTGAACATTGTACATGACAACTGCTGTATTTAGGTCAACTATATCATGTAATTTTAGGGTATTTGATTTTATAAATAATGGATTTGATGATGAATAATAGTCTGCACAATTGATTATTCTGTTTGCTTTCTTTTGCATTAAGAAGAGAGGCTGAATTGAAGTTTTATAATTATTCCCCCACACAACCACACAATAATGCAAGTATGGCAGTATTAGTGAAGTGTATAATAGGTGTAATGATTTTTTGTTAACGATTTTTTTAATTTTGCACAATATTCCAATCATTTTAGATATCTTTGTCTTCAAGTATTCTATATGTATTTTCCAGTTAAGTTTTGCGTCAATGTTAATTCCCAAGAATTTTGTGTTGTACACCCTCTCTATTTCAATTTGATCTATATTTAATTTGGTCGGAAAGCCAATTTTTTTATTACCAAAAATAATATATTTAGTTTTGCTCACGTTCATTGATAATTTATTGTAATCAAACCATTTCTTTAATATTAATAGTTCATTTCCAGTTTTTTCCATAAGCTGCTCAAGATTTTGTCCTGAACAGTAGAGACTGGTGTCGTCTGCAAACAGAATACAGTGCATAGTTTTAAGGACCTCACAGATGTCGTTGATGTACAATATAAACAATTTAGGCCCAAGGACTGAGCCCTGTGGGACTCCGTGTGTGGTTAGGTTTTTATCTGAATTAACATTATTGACCGTAACATATTGATCCCTGCCTGTAAGATAGTTTTTTAACCAGTCGTGAGCAACTCCCCGGACACCATAGCGTTCCATTTTGGCTAATAATAGCCTTATTTCTTATCCACATTTACAATGTGGATAAGAAAAACAACTCACCCTTTTCTCTTTTGGTTCTGTTATCTGTAAGACAAGCTTTTGCTGTCCCCAGTGCCACCAGCCACTTTTGCCTTTCCGCAGCATTGAGAGCACGCAAGTAAAAGTACTGCTCTCCGGGTATAGTCAGGTCCACCCGTGTGGAGTCTGTGGAGTGGACTACAAAAAACATGGATATAAGACTTGCTTTCAGTGCATTTAAAACACATCACTGCAGTAGATGAGTACAGACCTTGAATCTCACAAACAGATATTTTAATACTGCCTTTACATCCTTTCCAGGCATCCTCTTGGGAGTCATAATAGGACAGAGTTCCTCCTTCAAGCACAAACCAACGAGGCTGCCAACCTAAACAACACACGTTTATAGTTCATGCATCAGCATTATGGTACAGACAACCACACACATGAAATAAAGTAATGGAAGCGAGTAAAGTGGACAGTTTCTGTTTATTGTCAGTAAAATAGCAGATACTAATCAGCTGGTAAGTCAGATTACAGTCAACAGACAGCGCAGGCAATACGTCAGATGCTCTTGTTAGCTTTGTTAGCTATTCCATTTCGCCATACAAAGCCAAATATATGCTTAAACTATCGCCATAACAGTAGCTGGGGTCTAATGTTAGCCTGATAGTGTCTGAGATGTGTATTGAGGCTGTAACAAACTCCGTATAACGCGGTCATGCTAGCTAGCTCCATGAAAGAGAGAGTAACAGGATCAGATAAGCGTTGCAACTACGTAGTAACTTACCACTGATGTAGTTCGTCCATTTATAAAGTATTCCTTCCATTGTTTTAAGTCTGTTTTTCGATAGGCATTACTTGTTTATCATAATGGAATATGGATCACGGCTGATGGCACAGACTCCATCGGGCTCTAGTGGGATTTTCGCTGGAGTAACGTCTACACTGCTTTGATTCAAGCCAGGGAGAAGAAATGTGCGTAAAGCCAGTGTTGAATACGGAGCTACGCAAAAACAGGGAAAGCTGTGCGTAGCATCAAAGAAATACAATAAAACCCTGTGTGATGAAAACATGACTGAATGTCTGTTTTTAAAGTGGATATGAACTACAATCAAAGGTGCAGTAAGTAACTTTTGTGAAGGGGCCCACACCTGCCTGTTGCCATGGCAACTCTCACGGATGTCAAAACCCCATAGAGATATCGCAAAGACGCTTATTAAAGATTCAAAACATGAGGTTCTGCTCAGCCATCTGGCAGTAATGACCACAATACCTTCTACAAAATTTCCAGAAAAATCATCTTAAACACCTTTATTTATTTAAGCATTTTTATAAAATAAATACATAAAAAGAGCAAAGTTGAGTTTAACATTTTAATGTGTGTGTTTTTTGTTAGAGGTTATTTTGTCTGAAACCTCTATGCCCTGCACAGTAGTTACCAGGACCTCGTCGTGTCTTGACATATTGAAATCGCCTATGGAGATTTTTACTCTTTTCTATTTTCTAGTCTTTGGATATGAAAACGTATATATGAATACCTAAATGATACTTATATGCATAAATATAATTGTTTGCTATAATAATGATCAGGTAAGGAATGTAGATGTTATCTACGCTCACGCAATTTTTCAAAAGGCCAAAGATGATATGCCCATAATATCCTTTTAAAAAAATTTTTTTTGCTTAAGAAATGGCTTGATAAGGTTCATTTGATGGATTTTTTTACAGGAAATATCTTTCACTTGATTATTTGAACAAATATCTATTGGACAAGGCAATTCTTTGCCACTGAAAAGTAAATTGAAATCATACAAGGCATTCCTGCAGTTGTATGCACAGCTATCTAGAACTGTTTTATCCTTGATTTGAACAAAGCCATAACAAAGCCTGTTTCACATTTTCAGGAAGACTGTTCCAGATTTTAGCTGCATAAATCTTTGAAAAGGAAACAAAACTCTTGCGCACTGTACACCAGAGTTTTTATTTATAGATGAGAAACACCCGTGGGTCTTCTTCAGGCAAAAAAACGCCATTCAGCAGTAGTTATTGAAATAGACCAGCCATTCCCAAACTCAGTAACACCGAGGCCCCCTTAAAAATCTGACGGGTCTGCGTGGCCCCCCAAAATAATAACCAAGAAGACAACATTAAGAATAGGCTCTTCTGGTTATTTTATTTTGGGGAAAATGCCTCTGCTACAAACATTGTAATACAAAAATGATTACAGTGGATTATTCAAGTCAAATAATGAACACAAATATTTTAATATTACAAACAAAACATTATAAATTTAACGTTAAATAATTATATATATATATATTTTTTTTTATGACCTCCCGCGGCCCCCCTGCAGGACCCTCGCGGCCCACCAGGGGGCCGCGGACCCCACTTTGGGAGACACTGAAATAGACAATATAATAATTTAAAATACTAGTATTGTGGAGCTGCAGTAATTGAGGCGCTGTTTGACCAATAAGAAGAAGCAGAACCCGTTTGAAGGCGGGCTTTACTTCTCACTTATCCAATCGGAAGTCGACCCGGATAAACAGCTGTGCGCTTTGCTTCAGAACACCCATGCCACGTATTTAGCGTTCCAGCTCCAGCTCAGGCATGTGCGGATATCTGCTGTACATGGTGCGGAACTGTGTGTGCACTCCTTAACCTTCATCATCATCATGCTCCTTTTGTGCTTATCGCTCCTGCTTCCTCCGCTGTTTGCGCCAGTGTCCGGGAGAAAACTGCCCGATCCTGAAGTCCACATAGAAGTTTTGCACAAGCCGTTCATGTGTTATCGTACTTCGAAGTATGGGGACATGCTTTTAGTCCACTACGAGGGTTTTTTGGAAAGTAACGGGACGATGTTTCACTCCAGGTAATTATGTCCAAAAAGCTGGGGTACCTCATTTTCTTGTTTCAGTAGTAATACATGTTGTTTGTCCCAGCAGAAAGGCTCTTGTAAAAAGCAAACCAGAACACATCATGCTGTCTGTCTTATTAGAAAAGCTTTTTAAAATTATTTTTTGCATACGTGTTAGAAAAAGCCCTTGTAAGTCACTATTTGGCGCTTTGGGTTGAGAGATTATTTGTTGGTGGTCCTCTCTTTTTTAATTTTCTGTCTGAAAAGCCGGGATCCTAACCCTAAAGGTGTGACAGAGGCCTAAATACATGCATGTGCAAACTAGGGATAGAAGCTGTTTAGAGATCAAGAGAAAAGTTAGTTGGATTTTATTACATATAAGTGCTGTGTGTGATTTGAAAGTCAGGTACCACAGCTTTCACTACAATCCAATATAGGCGTGGGAACCTAAGGGTACCTCACGATACGATACGATTCACAATAACGATAATATCACTAAGGGTTATATCACGATATGACGATTATCGGTATATTGGCCAGCAATATACCATATGCCAATTTATGGCATTAATAAAAGAAAAATGTTAAGTGAAAAAATGCACTTCATTTCATGATAAATGGAATGGAGATGCGTAATGTAGCCATATATTAAGTATTGATACTATTTTTTGAAAAAAGATTGAAAAATTAAAATAAAATAAAAAAATCAATATTGATACTTGGCAGATGCATATCGATAATCGAATCGCGGGAGAAAGTATCGCGATATATCGTCACCCCCCTAATCCAATATCTACATTAATTTATCACTTCTTCTATTGGTGAAAACTGTCAAAAGTATCAAAAAGTTCTAGTTCTAGTTCTAAACTAGTTAGTTAGAGTTACTCAAGTATCAACCCGAGAAATGCATAAATAGAACACATTTTAGATGATCCATATTAGAACTAAAACCTGTTGTAACATTACAACTATCAACACATCAATGTTCCTGATGTAAACAACAATGTCCTGCTTTGAATGTGTTTTGAATTTAGTGGAGAAATGCTTCAGTATTTCAAATAAGACTAAATACCTCCTGTGCATTGTGGCAAGACACAGTTACAAAAAAATCAATGTAATAAGTTTCATTGTTTTTGTGCTGAAAGTAACATTAGATGTTTTAATCATTGTGGTATTAATATTTGTGTTGAGCATCTCCCTGGAAGAGAAATCAAGTTTGAAATATTATTATTGTGACTAAACTCATTTGTACATTGATTTAACTAAAGACACAGTATTTGTCCTTTAGGGTACTACAATTACAAGTTGCCGATGTTATTATGTAAACCAGTGAAAACAACACTGCTCAGACTGGCAACCCAAATGAGATGCTTTCTGATTGAATACTTGGCTTTAGAACCATAGCTGTGATATACTATTGTATTTTAAATTGGACTGTATCCACTTAAAATGTTGATCAGAAAAAGCCCAATACTTTTTGTACTTCTTGACCTCGTGACATCCGCTCTCTCTTAATCATTGTGTGGTTTGTCTGTTTCCAGTCGTAGTGAAGGCGATAAAAACCCTGTGTGGTTTACGCTGGGCATGCGGGAGGTGATCCGAGGCTGGGACAAAGGCCTGACCGACATGTGCACCGGAGAGCGCCGGAAGATCACGGTGCCACCAGCACTGGCTTATGGGAAGGAGGGGAAAGGTGGGTCTCCTCAAGTCTTTGGCCCAAGTCTGACTCGATAGACTCACTAAATTAACAAATCTGGTCATTGATCAATCGTTTTTTGAACCATACCTGAACCAAACCTGCTGAGAAGAGGTTTTATGACTCCATTTATTATATTTAATTGTATGCTCTAACCAATCTAGTCTCTACAATATTATAATAATGATAGTCTGGAATGGTAACTTAGATTCTCACTCTTGGAACAAATTTCAACGCATCATAAACAAAGCATCCAAGAAATCTGGTCACACTCTCCCATCCCCGGACAACATGCACTAGAATCACCTCAGACCCAGACCACACACACCCAGCCCATCATCTAATCCCACTCCTGCCCTCTGGGAGGCGCTACAGGTCCATCTCTTGTAAATCAGTTCGCCTCAAAAACAGCTTCTTTCCCACTGCCATTCTGTCTAAGCTACAGGTGAGATGTATCTTATTTGAATAGAAATGACTAAAGTCTCTCTTTCATTGCAAATGTTGTGACCGTAATATAAATATTAAACAATTTTCTGCTGCCTTTTCAAGTCCAAGCACAAATAGATGTAGAATAGGCTCAAATTTACTGTAGGTGTTTTCGATATAGTCCCCTCCAGCAAAGTCTAATAAAAGTTCTGTGTGTACAATTCCCCCCACTCAACATTAAACAACATTTTTCGACTTCATCAACATTTAAGGACATTGGTCATCTGCCCCCATGGACCAATGGCTATATGGGTTTTTTATCATTGCATTTCTTGTGTTTGAACTGTTTGATTTTTTTATAAAGTCCTCCGAGATAACTACTGTTGTGATTTAGGGCTATACAAGAATAAACTGACTTTGAAATAACGTCTGTTTGTTTTCTTCCAGGTAAAATCCCTCCAAGCAGTACTTTAGTTTTTGATATAGAGCTGATGGAGATTAGAAACGGCCCCAGATCCCACGAGTCTTTCCAGCTGATGGATCTCAACAATGACTGGAAGCTCTGCAGAAAAGAGGTTAGTTTTCCCTTGGAGACGTCCCATCTCCATTGGGACGTCACGGCTCTGATTGCAACGTACCTCCTGGTGGTTTTAAACTTGACGAGTATTTTACAAAAGATGTTTTTATTTGTGAGTGAGCAGAGTCGCTTTTCACTGATACAATCATTAGCTTGGCCTGATGTAGGTCCAAACCAGCATCGCATGCTGTGGTTTCGGAACCTTCAAGGCACAGCATTCACCTGTGACAAGCTGTGGCAGACCCAAAAAGTAAAGTTACAAATTGCACATGGTTTTAGAGAAGCCATAACTTGCTTCTGTCTTCTGAATCATGAGAATGACGCCTGTGAGGCATTAATTTAGTTTATTTGAAATCTCCATTGATCTGTTTCTGCTTTTACGAACTTGCTTTTTGTTTGTATGTGGTTTTTAATATCTGTTGTTCTGCTTGTTGATGGCTGTAACATTAATTTGCCATGGGGCTACAAATGGAAACAAGCTTTCATGGCTCAATCTGGCATATTTTCATGGACACATGTTGATTAACGTGCACTGTCCCAAACAAATAAACTATGAAAGAATATCAAACATCACATCAAGCAGATTATTTCCATGTTGAGCTATAATGACTGCAGAAGGCTGTTGAATCATCTGCATTCTCAGATTTAGGGGAAGTGGATGCTGTAACCTGCACTTAATTGTTCAAATGTATTTTTTGGCCTCTGTCATGTCTTAAATAAACCAAACTTTAATTTTCTAATTCTAAATTATTAGTTCACAAACATGAAACTTTAACCTTTTGCTTTTCCATGGCAGGTGAAGGAATACTTGAAGAAAGAGTTTGAGAAACACGGATACTCGCCTAACGACACGGAGCACGATTCGATGGTGGAGGACATTTTCAAGAACGAGGACGAGGACAAAGACGGCTTCATATCGTCGCGAGAGTTCACCTATCAGCACGACGAGCTATAAACACTCACAACATATCGTTTATACTTTTAGTATTTTATTTCAAGGATGGGACATTTGATTTCATCAGTGTTTTTTCTAATTTATATTTGTCTGTGTTTTATAATAACATTGTTTATGTGGAATCTATTGAACACATTTGATATTTTTGTTTATTAAAGCGTTGTTCATCTCTCAAGCACAAGGGGGCACCGTCTCCTTGGTTCTTGGCATTGATCTGTTTGGCATTCTGACAACACAACATGACACTTGTGCATTTAAAACCAAATTATAAATTACATTCAAACGCAATATTCCAGTCCAATAAGTTATTTGAAAAAAAAAGAACATTTAACATTTTATAATGTGAATTTAAATAACCAGTATTTAAACCACTTATCTTTGTACTTGCACACACAAAAAACTAACTGATTAGGTTTTCCATGGAACCATTTAGAGAACATTATTCTTTATGAACATCATTTTAGTGACAAATAAACACAATCATAAAAAGTACAATATTTACATAATAAATATATACAATGTACAGTTTGTAAAAGTGCTTCATGCGTGTCCACTTTTCTTTGGACAGACCATTATATTCTTAATTAGATTTTTTTTCAACTGTCTTTGTTCAGTGGTAGAAGCAGTACTCAATGTGTAACTTAAATAAAAGTAATATATTTTAAGTAAAAGTCTGACATAAGATTTTGCGCTAACACCAGTCGAATCCAATCTCTCATTAGAGTTGCCAGTGAAATCTATGGAAGAAATCCAGGTATTTTACTCAGCACCTGCCTGGTTTTCGGAAATTCTTACATAAATGAATGTCTAATGAACGTAGTAAAGCGCTTTGGGTGACCTTGGTCTGTAAAAAATGCTCCATATAAATAAAGATTACTTACGTACTTACTAATATTACGGCGGAATATTGCAGTGTGCTAAAAATAATATAAAAGTTTAGAAATTTAGCTAAACTCAAATGTAAAGGCGACAACTAGTCTCTGTAAAATGCAATATAGGAAAAGGTACCTAGAAAAGTATTAGTAGTTTTACTTATGTACTTTGTGTACATTCCAACACGTGTTCGCACACAGGAACCTGCAGGAAATGATTCTGACAGCTTTTGTGTTTTTAGTGATGGTCCTTAAAGTGCGTATGACGGCTGAACTACTTGTTTCCTTAAATGCAGCGTTCAAACTAATATTCCACATTTGGCTATATATTTAACAAAACAATTTTATACTAGTTTTGAAATTTGAATGTTTTTCAAATGTACTTTCTGATTGTAACATGGGAGCATCACACTTGGGATTCATGATTCCTTATAGTAGAAAACATTCCTATGCTGTAACAGGAATTATGATTTGACATAACAAATATGTCCCAGCGGGAGGAGGCAGCGGGGAAGACCCAGGACACGCTGGAGGGACGAAAAAATAAAAATATATAATCCTTGTCCTTATTATTTTTTATAAGGAACGGACATTTTATGACGGATTCCTAGTGTAGCATCATCTCTCACAGCTTTTCTTCCTGTTTTTAACGTGTTTTGAACTTCTCCCTTATCTACTGCTTCCTGATTGGTGCAAAACTATCATCTGTCAATCCGGTCGTACACACCTTTAAAGCAATAGAATTATTCCCAACTCAAACAGCATCGTCAACAACAACAAAACAGCATTGTCGGGAGGAACGGATTCATCATTTTTGCAGAATAAATAGTTTTCCTTCTGGATTCGAAGTGGCTAAAATAAGACATCTTCGTTCTCGATCATGAGCTGCACCACAGACTTCTGCTGCCGCATGTCGTTCAGAGTGGTCAGTGCGTTGAGCTCCGGGGGCTGCATCAGAGTCGGGCCGAAAACAATGCCCAGGTTTTCAGCATTCATCAGGTTATCCTTTTCAAACATGGTCACTCTGAAAAATAAATGACATTTATAATTTTTCTGTTACTTGATGAAAGGCATGTCATTACAACAACATTTGAAATTTGGAATAGGAGATGGTCACAAGATACAATTTGTTTTTGTTTTTTTGATTATTATTTTTAATTTCTTTATGGAAAAAACAAAATAAATGAAAAAAATATGACAAATACAGTTTTCTTTATCATAATAGACATTTTTTTTTTTTTTATGACATCAGAAATGGTGCAAGGTAACTGAGGGCACCAAGGTAAATAAGGATTGACCAATCATTGCCTTAGCATCAATTTTAGTTACGTGTCTACCGCTGTTATGAGGCAAAGCTAACCCTGTTTTACCAAATGCCCATATAAGGAAATTGGTTCCAGCTAGCTTATGTTCAAATCGGTTTCTTCCACATTCGACAAACACAATGGGTGAGGTCAGCACTCGGTCAGTCCACTCCCCTATAATGAAGAGCAATACTAGCTTAGCGTATTAGCTTAAAGCCATCTACAGTGATCCTTGCATTTCTAAGCCTGCTTTAGAGCTCTCAACACGGTGTTAGCTTCTTGTATTTATTGCTTCTTTGTTTTTATGCAGTCACCTCTTGAGATGAGCCATCAGGTACCGGAGCGTCTCGTAGTGCGCAGGCGGGAGCATGAGGAGAGCTTCGTGAATGGCCTCCAGTCTGGACTCAGGGTCAGGGAGCTCTGTGGTGTCATATGCGATGATTAGCAAAGCGGCTATTGAATAAGTAACAAAGTGATGCTCTTACTTGCAGACTGAATGAACTTGGAGTACAACTCGAACGTGATGACGGGAATGGGGAGGTCTCGCAGGTACAGCTTTAAGACCCCCGCGATGATGTTGATGTCCGCAAAGGCACTGGCCCCGATGTCGGCCTTGTCGCCATCTGTTTTACCAATTAGGAAAAGAGGGAGAGAGACTAATCAAAATACATTGTTATTAGGGATTGTCAAAAGCACATTCAATTACTGTTGAAAGGAAAAAATCCTATTTATTTTCCCCATAGGAATTTCAACAGAGGCTTTGTATTTTATCTATTCATATAATTAGTGCGTGTTATACAGTTTCCGAAACAGATTAGAGATACATTTGAAGCGCCTGTGGTTATCATACACCGCATACTTGATTCGTGAATACTTTGGAAAACATTTGGGGAAGATAAATGGTGTTGAGCTCCATTCGTGACCAAACACGGAATACAAAATTGTATACAATTAAATTAGAGCTGCACGAAAGGAAAGAAATATATAATTGTGATTCTTCAAATAGCCATTGCAATTATGGTTTGATATTTCTGATATGAAACTGGGATAATGTTCAAAACCCACTTGGAGAATTAACATTTGGGGAAAACTGCTTCTCAGCAAGAAGGTCTAGGGTTCAAATCCCGGTCGGAACAGGGCCTTTCTGAGTGGAGTTTGAATATTCTCCCCGTGTCTGTGGAGCACCCGGTTTCCTCCAGGTGCTCTGGTTTCACTAAAAACATGTAATTCATAGGTCTGGCATGCACCTCCTGTACAGGCGACCTTGCTCCCATCTCTGTGTGGAGTGAGAGACAAATGCTCACAATTGAAAGGCGCTATATAAATAAAGGTTACTTACTTACTTACTTGACATTACATTTTTGCTGGAAAGTCACGCTAGACATGACATGCAAAATTTAAAACTTTCCTGCCCCGCGGGTGTTTTAAAACTGCCCATAGAAGGCAAAAGTGCTGGCATGTTAGTTTCAACGGTGGAGATAGGCGTGACTAGGAAAACAGGAAAACTGGAAAAGTGTGACATAAACAAACCTCGGTCAAAAGCGAGTCGTGCGTCTTCTAAATGTTCTGTAAAGCCGGAAACTCGATAGAGTCCTTCAGATTTCATGCCTGAAATAAATGGCCACAAAACAAGACTCAAGTACAGGTCCATTCAAATTTAAGGCAAAACTATTTTCTAGTTTTCAATGCAATAAGAACCATGCATATTTTATTACCATTTGTAATCATTTCACAGTAATCATATCTGCTTATCAAACTCAGGGACTGGTTAGTTCTGTGATGGTAGACCGCTATGCTACTAGCAGCCACAGTGAGGCAGCTGTGGCAGTCTTTGTTTCTGTAAGGCACCTGTGGCTGCAATTGTAATTTACCATCACAAGATATGTAATGAACGAATGAATAAAGCAATATAAAGCGCTTTGAGTGTTGTGAATCAGAATCAAAATTATTTTATTTCCATTGTGAGTAACAGGAAGTCACAAACAAAGTTATAAGTAAAAACATAACAACTTGTTTGCACTGAGAACCAAAGTGATTTCCTAGTTTGTGATATCCTGTTAAAGGTGTTAAACATTATCATTATCACAAAAGTGAAAGTTACCTCTGAGTTCTATCTCCCGTATGCACATGTCCACAACCATTGGCCTCGTCGTGTTGTGAGCTTTGACCAGAGTGGTGAGGTCACAGCTGAAGACTTTCTTAATCCTGCGCAGATCCGGCTGGCAGTCGCTGGGCACCAGTTTGGAGCATTGCTTGTGCACGTTCAGCCCACAGTCTAGCGCAGAGAGAGAAGAGAACCATGTTACAACAATGTTCCCTCATCAAAAACCTGGAGCGTTTTTTTTCAGCTCCAACCATGCTAATATCAGATACTTCTGGTACAAGTTTTTTGTCTAAAAGCTCTTGTCTCAGTCCTGTTGAGACTGCTAGTGGTACTATTGTACCACTATGTCTTTTATTAAAACAAAAGTACTCTTCATATATTGTTAAGTCCTCCGAGATAACTGCTGTTATGATTCAGGGCCATACAAAAATAAATTGGATTAAATTAGATAGATAGATAGATACTTTATTGATCCCGTAGGAGAAATTCAGGTTTCCAGTAGCAGCAAAAACACATCCATCCACACAAACAAAAAACAAAACAAATACATTTAATTGAGTATAATTTCTCCAGCGAAATAACATACTTTGCAAAAACATGGAAGTGGTTCGGGGCACTAACCAAAGAAAATTTACACCTCCCTCTAGTGGTAGTAGAGGGATAGAGCAGGCCAATACCATTGCGTACTCTTGATACTTGTTTCACCATATATCATCTACCAAAGATATAATTTCACATTCTAAAACCCCAAACGACAAAGTAAATAGTCTTATCATAATTATCAACGGCCAAACATAAAGCGTAATATTTCTTCTTTAAGAGATAACATTTCCAACACAGAAGGCTTAAAGCACTTTGAAAATGCCTTTTGAGTCTGTGATAAACAGCCGTGTGCAGCGCAGCTTAAGTCCACTGGCTCTCACAGATAACGGGGGACATCATGACTGCAGTGGCCTGGCTTTTCACGGCACACTTTAGTTACTTGAAGTATGCTGGCAGCTGTCCCGAGTGAAAAATACCAGGCTTTTGTCATGGGCCCCATCTCCAACTGTATATCAATGAAAAGACATAGCTTTCCATCTGCCCTCATTCATAACTTGTACTATAGGAGTTACAAACGACATAATGCAGACATGCCCGGACGAAAAGAGGACAAAGAAATATCCCCTGGTTCCCACAGCACATGAGGTGTCTGGTGATAGAGCTGTGTGCCTGTGGCTTATCAGCATGGTGAATGTCTCAACAACAAACAGTCTGTTGAAGAAGGAGGCCGCAGAACCGACCAATGTGCACTGTTACTGAGTCTTGTGACTGAAGCTGAACATATTCTCATTCTTTCACATCATAATCTTGTGCTATGAGTAATAATGGATTGTGTTATCATAAACGAATTGTATACAAAATGACAAAATGCTACAATAACTGTAAACATAGTGGTATTTCTTGTTTGCACATTTCCTATCCCAAACCCTGGGTAATCCTATTTGTGCCAAATGTGTGTAAATTTCTCCATTGTGAGATCAATAGACATCTTATCTTATCTTATTTTCATGTTGCGGTTGTGTTTGAAAGTTTACATGCCCAGCCATAGATTTAATTGTTTTGGATCTATAATGATAACACATACACATTTCCCCCACTTATTGTTAGTGGTTGGGTGACGCCATTAATTGTCAAATAAAAATGTTTTCTATTTTTAAATGATAACATCCTTGTGTGGATCTGTGGAGAGAGGTGCTGTTCTTGCATGGCGGCCCAGGATGTAACCGGAACTGAAGGCTTTTTGCCAAGAAGAATGTTCAGCTTTACCATCAAAGAGGATAAAGAACCTCAACCAACACCACCACAAAAGACTGCAAGCTGTCATAGATGTTAAAGGGGCAATCCACTTAATCGAGAACTGGGGGATGGAGACTTCTGATCAGGGCCAGAAGAGACAATTCTGTTGTCATTGAAAATAGAAAACATCTTTATGTGACTATAAACGGCCAGTGAAATACATCCTGTGTTAGCTCAAACTAACAGAGATGCAGTAAAAGCCGTGGCATCTAGCTGCTTAATAGATTATATACGAGCATTACTTATGTAAACCTTGACGTTTCTTGCGTAAGTGTGAAATTGTATGTAAAGTTACCAGAGCAGCGGACGCCTTGAGCGATGAGGCCCCACATGAAGTTGGCACAGTATTCACACCAGTGTGGCCCTCTGAACGTGTGCACCTGCAGAGACAGACACAGGGAGCAGGTGACGTCAGTAAAGGGGGGACTCAACATGTTTATTTCTCACATATTCTCCCTAAAACTGCGACACATTGTATTGTGTCTGTGTCTCTTTTCTGTCTGAAAAAGCAGATGAAGCATGTTTAAAGTCAAGATATTGAATATAGGTTTTGAATGTAGGTTAGAACTAGTTATGTTAAGTTCTTGTGGGAAATAGGTTTGAATAACAACATCCATCTTTCCCAGTTTGAAAATCAGGTACCCCAGCTTTAATGCAAAAAATTCAGAATTTCCATTTTTATCCTGAGCAGAAGAAGACGAGACCGTAAGCTAGAGTTGCAACAAAAGATTGAAAAAATGGTCAATCTCCATTTTGGTAAACTGTGATTATCACCATCGGAAATAAAATCAAGAGACACCAATGATGAGGCAGTAACAGCGTGAAGGGATGAAGAGGAGTGAGCTCCTCAAAACAGCAGCACCTCCTTCTCATGTGAACTCACTTTTTACAGCCATTGGCCTAAATATCATATACACCCTTAAGTTTGGCAATCAAAATATTGTTGTTGTCATACCATTTATTTTGTTAAGTTTTTAATCAAATCAGGAAATGGAGATTGGTCAATGTGGGGGAAAAAACGTTTAATTTAATTTTTCCCCTTTGCCGAGCCCTACTTAAGACAAATTAGAGTATTCATGCTTAGATCATAGATTGCAGGTGTTATGATGTGGCTGGCATCTGCTTTTGATGCTTCCTGAGATATGAACATGGTACAGAGAGAAACCCCAGAGTCAAAATAACAGATGTATATCATGTGTGTGTGTGTGTGTGTGTGTGTGTGTGTGTGTGTTAGCATTCTATTCACATACACCTGGGAGCAGTTCTAAAGCCTTCAAAAGACTGCTGCTGAGTGAAGTGGCTAGGCAGCAGCAGCAGCAGCAGCAGCAGCTGGCTGATGGAGTCTTTTTGTACACTTCCACAAAGTAAGCGCACAAAGAGCATGTGGTCATAATGAACTTGTAACTGAAACCAAAGCTAAGCTGAAAGAATGCACAAGGTTCCCCAGGGCTAATTATGGCTTTATCCATGTGCACTGTAAACAACAGCCTTTCTGATGTATTAGTTTTACTCTCTAACTTTCAGCAGACTGGAGAATCCATTTGAATCAATTTCTCGTGTTAATGGATTTCTGAAATCTATGTCCATTAGTTAGCCATAGCACATCAGAGTCAGCGGTGTGCCCCCATTACAGAGACAGTGTTGAAACAACAATCTGCCTCAGAATACCAAGTGATGTGGAGTTTTTAACATTTTACACTGATGTCACTTACCTTGAAGTTGTGGATCTTCTCATAAGAACACTGCTTCTCCGGAGCATCTTTAAGTGCAGTCTTGTGCACCGCAGGGGATGTTATCTGTGGACAGGAGGCCAACAGTTTAATCGGCTTCCACAAAAGGTTTCCTTTACTTCCAAGTTTGACTCCCAGAGCCAGGGCCAGCAGCTCCTGGCGCTTCCTCTCATGCCTTTTGGCTTTATGAGATACCAGCTCTCCCTCCATGGCAAACTGTTCAGCTTCCCAGACACTGACCATTTCTTCAGAAGAACTAAAATAAACTAATGATCAGTAAAGACAAACTTGCGTCCCCTCTGACCCAGGACAGTGTCCGCTGACAGCCTGTCCAGGGATGGTGTTGCATCTGCTCTGCTCTCAAAGCACACAGCAGAGGGGCCAGTGGAGCAGAGGGGGCGGCCTGAGGGCTGAGTGTGCTCACAATGCTCCTCTTTCACACATACAGAGGGGAGGGGCCACGGGGAGTGCTGTCAGGACGGCTCTACACAGCTCAACAGTTTTGTAAAGCAGGATCAATAGAGCAGACGCCCCCCTTTAGACCACTGCACACTCCCATTAGCACACTGCCTTCCGGACACACTCCTCCTCATTTAAATGGACATAATACACTGCTCTGAGTGCACAGGGGTCTCCACACAGGCCACTGGTCCTCGGCAGTGGATTCTTCAGCTCCACATATCTGACATGCCTCTGTCCTTGTAATTCAAATAGATCTTGACCTCCAGCTATGCCATGTCTCCTGAGTGAGACTTCTCTGCCTATAGCCGCCCAGACGGGAGCAGACGGGACCATCCAGACACTCTGACTGCAGACCACTCCTGCCAATCACTTCTCTCCCAGAGGAACACTATCCTACCACCAACTGCGACTGGGGCTGATTAATCCACATGCTTTACAAAGACAAATCCACATTCAATCTTAGAAAGTAGGTTGATTAAGAGTCTTTGCAGAGTGAGGCCTGTGGGGGGGATGCTGCCTTGTAAACGTTCAGTCTCTAAACAATCCCAAAAGGCAAATAACAGTATTTCTACCACAAATCACAAACACAAGCCAGTCCATTGAATTGTATAGAAAGTAGTTATGTGCAATTCATCAAATGTATAGGATGTATTGCTATTTTCAAGTTAAAAAAGTATGCAAAGCTGTTTCCTCTATTCAGACTTTTGTTCATAATATCATCTGGATCCAATAAAAATGTCTCTTATTTATGGATATTTTATGGCAATTTTGATGAAAATATCCAAATATAGATATAGGTTGTCCCATACAATTTCAAATATGTTAGGTCTTTAATATATATTCTATATGTATTCCCTTTTAAAATAATGTTCAAACTGATTATGATTGCAAATACAGGTGAAACTCGGAAAATTAGAATATCATTCAAAAGTTCATTTATCGCGATTTCTGCCCTGATAAAAAGCAACATCGATCACAGAGCAAACGTCAACTGTACTGCATTTTGCCATAAGTTTGTGACGAGTTCCAGAAGCACAGGTGAAACTATTCTCTGCCTGGTGCTCTTTAAAAAGCCGTACACATACCAAACCTGATTGAGCCTGGTTTCTGAGGGGACAGACAGAGATATGCAGGGCCTTTGTCTATTGGGCAGATGGCTTCTTGGTGCTTAAAAGAGATCTCCCTACAATGCACAAAAGGTGGTCAAACAACAGTCTCTGCTTTCTGCTCCATTCTCTTTATTCCGCTGGGTCTTTGTGGACTCACAGCTGAGCAGGGTCTGACTGTCTCCGGCTGAGGAAGTAGAATAGGGAGCAGAGAAAAATCAAGACAGTAGAAGACAACTGGCAGCATTATAAACGAAATACAACAGAAAGCAATGGCAAAAAATGGTTAATGCCGCACTGTCCCGAGAATACATGTGAGTCGTTGTTTACAGAACTGCTTGTCTGTAAATAAAAGATTTTTCTGTCTTTGAGAATAACGGTATTAAAGGAGGCACTGATACTGATAATTGCTATTGGTGCTGATGCAGGAAAATGTGTTGAATTGGGAATTGATTCTATATCCTGATTGGGCCTTTCACTGTATGTTCTAAAACTATGTACTGTTTCAGTTTGTGCTTATTGTAAATATTGTTTTGTTTTTTTCCCCAGAGACAGGCTCTGTGTAACCAAAAAGGAAGGACCCACAATGAACAACAATAAGATACGCCTTTATTCGACCCACAGTAGGGAAATTCACACTGGATGATATTAACCCAGAGGGTCAAGAGTTTCAACTTTTACAAACACTTGTGGGATAAATAATACAATTGGACCCATTGTGTGAAAGCTTTGATTTAGAAGGAAATGGTATTTGTCCCTTCAATGGTATCGTTCATATCGAGGGAACACCAGGTGCCACAGTCGGGCAGCTCCGGCTGTAAAGTATACTCCACATTGCCTTCCACGAATGCCTAGTATGAGTCTGGTGTGTATAAATTATGGCGGTCAAAGGGGCCAATGGCACTGATGAGTTCCTGACAGTCTGCACCAGGGCAGCTGTGGCTACAGTAGTAGTTTACCACCACTATTAATGGAGTGAATGAATAATGCCATGTAAAGTGTCTCAGAGTGTCCAGAAAAGTACTAAGCAATATTAAAAACATATTCAGTATATTGAAAGCCAAGTATGAAGATCAGACATGAAAAAAGTAGGTCATGAGTTACGAGTTTCAGCTTCCTACTTTAAGAAACTTAATTAAAAGTAGAATATGAATAGAATGCTGTGATTGTTGTGTACAGGGAGTGGTGCGCTCTATTTAAACACTGTGAAACCCATGGAGAGGCAGGGAGAAAGAAAGCAGTAGTGTTAATTAAACCATAGGAGATTTAATAAAACATGCAAATAGTTTATAAAACCATTACTTGAGGCGTGTACAGTGCTGCAGTAACATGAGAAAATACAGAGGAGGCGAGAAGTCCCAAGGCACGAGACTAACGTCAACCCAGCACCAACACATTTCATTTTTCGTCTGTTGCGTTGTCCTTGTCGTTCTCTATTCTATCATAACTTGTGTTTGTTATTTTTTGTCTTGTGCGTCTGTAATAAAGTTCAATTGATTCATTAGATGGATAATTAATCACACAAAATTAATTAGCAAGACTGCTCATTTGGGAAAAGGATCTTCACAGTACATTGGGACTTTAAAGGTGCCACTTTCCTGGTGTAGGGTCCATCTAAATGCGGTTTATCCTGGAGTCTAACACAGTGTGGCATTAACCTACATCTACATCTACATCAGAGAAAAACAAGTGGCTTCACTCAGCTCAGATACAAGTCATATCTAAGAGCGAACCCAATGTAAGAATCAGATCTGCAAACTCAATCCTTACAAATGTCTGTGTCAAAAATTATATATTAATGTGTTGCCAAGCATTTGTCAATTCAAGAAATTCCACATTTCTCTAATGAAGGTACTTGCAAAAGTGTGTTCCCATAAATTAAAGCTACAATACAAATACAACCAGTATCACACCTTTTTTTTTTTTTTACAGATATGATTTATGTAGATTATATATTCTATTATTAAAATGGTGATTGCCTTGTCACTTGGGGTTTACTTTCTATATTTTTTTCCGGTCAAACAATGATACAATTTAACTACCAACATGAGCCTACTGTACAACACAACAGCTGTGCCTCATGTTATCACACAGTTGTACTTGTGTGTAGACGCCTAAACAAAGGTCTGATTAGTTCAGTTTAGTTTACATTTTTTGTTTATTTCAGTCAAAATTTCCACCTGCGAGATCTCTCCAACTGATTCTGTCTATGCGGAAGCTGTTATTATTTGTTTTTGATTTATTGGTAAACAACTTTAATTTATTGATTTAATTGACCCAGACAGAGAAGTTGTGCAGTGCATCGTTCCCTGATTTGATTTTAGCTGTGTTTTAAGACCATACAAAAATACATTGAATTGAATATTTACAAACCAAACTAGAACTTAAACACTAGAATAGAGTTTAGTTTGTGGAGTCCAGGTAACAATGACCAATCGCAAATTGATTTTAATGGATGATATTAGTACACTAATCATTGCAGCCTCGACTGGGATAATGGTTTCTATCACATGACACAACTTACACTTTAAAATGGACTATCCCTGTAATGAATAAGTAAATAAGAAATAAAATAAATGAAATAATATAAACAGAGAATCTTAAAAACACTGAATTCAGCGAGACGTGTTTGTGAGACTCGTGTTGAAGCGGCCGTCATGTGGGCGTCTGCTCAAACTGAGGCAGCGTTCACAGACACATGTCACAACAGAATTACACACAATAAAACATGACAGAACACTGCAGCCAGCACTGAGTGTAATAAAGGCCCAACAGCCCCCTCTAGAGGTGGGATACTTACTGCTTCGAAAGAAAGTAGCATTTACGCTCCATCAAATGCATGAGAGAAAACAATGGTCCTCTGCCAACTCAGCAGAAATCTGTGGCTCCTCTGCAGAACACAATTATGAATGTTCTGCTGGTCAATCATCATTAGGTATTACAGAGCCAACCGCCCAGGCAGCTGTGAACTCACCCACAGGCCTCTGGGACAAGCAGCACTCGTCTGAGAGGTCAGCCGACTGGAAGCATTTCAAACAAAAGTCTTCAAGCAGGAGCAGTGTTCCTGTGCCCCTCTCGGACGCTCTCAGAGTCTAAATGCAGTTCTCCTCGACAAAATACACTCACACTAAGTACTTTGCAACCGCAGGTATTCTTAATTGATAATTGCTTCATTAAAGCTGGGTACCTAACTTTCAAACCAAAAAAACATGAACTAAAATGAACTTAAAACCTTTTGGTTCTGTCATTAGACTCCTCATACTGTACATGTATTTTTTGGCCTTTGCCACATCTTTAGATCAGTTCTATCAGACAGAAAAGAGAGCGCCATCCTCACTCAGCCAATCGGTGTCAAATAGTGACTCTTACAAGAATGCAGATTATAAAACAAAAGCATGTGTTACTTGGGTACCCCAGCTTTAAGGCCAAGGAAGTTGTTGGACAATAGTTACATTGTTACCAAAATATTTAAAGCCCCACTGGGCCCCTTCCGTCTCTTTTGTCTAAATTCTCCTATCCTAAACCTGGAACACTGAGAAATCCTTTAACTAATACATCATGAACCTTTTAAAACAACAGTAATCTCTAAAAACTACTTTTGGGAAGTTTTCAGCGCCTGGTTTGTTATAGTATAATTCTCCACTTCAAATCTCAGATTCTTTTATTTACATATTTATCTATATTCCTTTAACTTAAAGCTAGGAACAATACTTTCAAACCACAAAACATGCAACTCTATAATAATCTCATATAAATTGTCCCTATAGGTCTCACAACAGATGCTTCTGTTACATCCTTCGATCAGATGTTTCATCTCTCAGCCCAAAGTGTCAAAAAGTGACACACAAAGCACAGTATACAAGAGGCAAACAGCATGTATTTTGAATTTTGGAAACAGTTTTATACCCCATCTTTAAAGAAGACAAATGCAAATTGACTTTGAGCTTTGAACCATGTTAGAATATTGTTCCCTGTGGTGGTTTTTATATCTATCCATGCCAATGTCAGGAACTTCGGGCCTTCAACTCCTCCCTCTGGCGGGAGCATAGAGAGTTACAGGTAGAAAGCCTTTTTTTATCCAATATTTCACCATATAATTTCACAATGAGATATTATTTCAAACCCAAATCCATTTACATATAGTTCTATAGCACCTTGTCCATAGACTAAACCCTCACCTTCTCCTCGGGCTGGAAGGTGACTCTTCGCGGCTCGGTGCGGATCCGGTTCAGTCTGTGCACCGTCTTGTCCTTGAGCAGGGAGGTGTATCCCAGGTGTTCGTAGATGGGGTTGGTGGTCATTTTGGCGATGTACTCTGCCGCTTTGGTCTCGATGTACAGCGTGATGAGAGCGTCGGTGACCAGGTCGTGCACCGACTCAAAGCGCTTCTCCCCCACAAAGTGCTTCCCATCGTAGAATAACCTGTAGTTGAGTGATTGGTGTCCAAATCTATGGATGAACACACATTATTGGGGATTTTGGTAAAGACATTTGTATTTCACTGCAGTAAAATAGCAGAGAATATGTGGATAAATGTACAGGGGGTGCACCGGTCCTGGAGGTACTGCTATACCAGGTCGATGCGTGGAATGGACGGAGCAAGCCCCTATTCCATCTCCCTGTTCCAAAAATCAATTTTATATATGGTCCCCGAGTAGAGGGACGTACCAGATATGAAACTGATAAAAACAGATGCTACACCTGATCTCAGCCTAAAGGCAGAGAAGCGAATTGATCTGGTTTTACAGTGTGAGAAACCAGTTGGTGCTTAGTCTTATTCCAAGCACCGTTTAGGTTTTATACAAAAGGTGAATACAGTAGTAGTGGTAATAATACTAAGAAAACATAGGTTCTATATGTACTGTATCTTTAAATCAATAGTAAAATAAAAACATGTCCATGATGTCTTCTATCTATAATGCACTAATCGCTGAATGTTTGTCAGATTGACCAAGGGGCTGGGCTACGGCTTTATCCTTTATTTTTGCATTTTTTGTGTGATTGTCAAGACTTTTATTTTCAAATCCTACGTTTAATCAACGCTACTTAAGCTTCCACTCTAGGAATACACACTTCTTACTCTACTGCAGTAAAGCATATAAAGCATTATAACACTAGTATATTAATATAAAGATGAGACCACTGGTCGTAACCACATAACAGTGAACAAACCTCAGCGCTAAGGTGCAGGTCCCTGGTTGTCTCTGACTCTCTCTGATGAGGTACGCTCCCTCCACTCCCCCCAACAGCTCGTCTGCATGTTCCCGGGAGATGATGCCATGAAATCTGAAATCATGAAAAAACATGTTAGAGCAGATATTGGATCATTTTTATGTCCTAAAACCATTTGACGATATATAAAAAGTACATGTACCTAGTTTGGGATTAAGTTAGGGATAATTTTTGCAACAAAGTACCTATATTACACCCTCGTGCAATTAACCAAAGAAATAAATACATCTAATTTGAAATGTTGTAGTTGACACAAATCTTCTGCAAAATTCTGTGTGCATCACTTACTCTCAAAGTCCCTGTAAATATCTGTATGTATTATGAGAAGAAATCCACAATACTACCACTTCTTCTTATACCAAGAATGAGGCCAGTCTAATGATGTGTTATATGTGCAATAAATTAATTATACTTAAAAATACTTAAAACAACTCTATTAGTACTTTAGTTGCTACATATGGCAATATGGCAAATCTGCAAGAATAAAAATGTGTTGAATCCTCGTTTGAATTAGACAACAATAATTGGAAATCTGAAGTCAAAATTATTCCATGTTTATTTATTTAATTAATCGTGTGGAGCGCGCTGCATGCCTTGATGTGTATATGTGTGTATGTGTATTCATCAAAACTGAAATTTCCCCACTGTGGGACAAATAAAGGATTATCTTCTTCATCTTCTTCAAATATACAATACAAATAATTTAAAGAAAGCGCTCCTGATATATTTCACACACTCACTCTCTGCCGTAGTATTTGGGCCGAGTCTCCATCTGTGGACCAGAGAGAACATATTGATGACAGCCATAAGATATAAAAAGCCACGGAAAATTGCTTTTTAAAATTGTTTTCAAAGGTCTGTGAAAGATAAAGGCGTCCTCCCCTTATCACAGAGCGGCTCTATATGTGCTCTATACCGCCAGCAGTTTCCAATCACTGCTCCGATGAGTGGATAAGTCTATGTGTAACCATTTCAAAGAGGCTGAGGATTAATTTTACATTATATTTCACAGTGGGCAGTCAGATAAGGTTTCCTGTTTGTTTTTTAGCGCTGTGATAAGCTGCAGTGGTGGAGGAGCCTTCTTAGGATGCATGTGGCGCAGGTGCAGGCTTCACTGAGAACACCTGGCTGCGTTTCTCACTGTCAATGAATAACTGATGCTCCATGCTGCGCCTCACTGCTCACCGTCTTTCCCACATCAATAGATCCCAGAGTGGAATGGACATTAATATAGATCCAATTGTGTTTGTTAAAAACTGTCCAATATAGATCTTTTGTGAAACCCAAAAGTATTTTTGACAATTTTAAAAGTTTAAGCTTAATTTTCACAATATATTTTCGCAAATTTGTGCAAAAGAGCTTTGTGAGTCTCTGGGCTGAGAGCTGATCTGATGAGCGAGAGTGGTCCTCCATTTTTACATTTTCTGTCAGAAGAAGTTGATCTAAAGATGCGAGAGATGCCCTAAAATAGTTTTGCGAGCGAAGAGCCAGTTTGATTACCTTTAAGGACAGGACAAACAGGATAAAAACACTATTTTCTTTCACCAGCACATTTACTATAGTCGTAATTGCTTACATAATCTTAGGTGGACGAGCACCAGTTGTGATGTAGATTAGAAGACGAATGAAAAACGATTCAGGATGCAGCTTTGTCAAATATATATTTTTATAGTAAAAAAAGGTTTAAGGTTGCACACTTCAGCTTATATTGTTGTATCATGTTCATGTGTTTGTATGGGCTCCACTTCATATCGTATCGCTTATGTTACTTTCTGACATTTCCTATGTTTTTATGCGTTTTTAATGTTTTTAATGCACTCAAACAAATTGCCCCTGGTGGGATAAAAAAAGAATCTAAGACAAGATAAGATACTTTATTGATCTCACCCTGGAGAAATGTACATGTGACATTTGGCATAGATAGGATCTCTCAGATTGTTCACTCAGAATCTGAATCTGAAATTTCACTAATATTGTTAAATGGAAGTACTGACCTCTTGCGGACATGTGACCCTCTTTGGTCGCGGGGCTTCTTGTTGAAGCTGGTACACTGAACACAAACAATATGAAATAAATGTTACAGTAATGTAACTGGTTTGTTGTAGTTAGACGGATGACGGATTGTGTGGATCATATCATCAACTGCGTGCTTTGTAAATGATGAAATGTGAATATAATGTGAATAGGGGCAGTTGTGTTACTCCAACATGTCCTGGGTTATCCCCGGTGTCCGAAACAGTCGGCGAGCCATCTCAACTGTCTCCTCTCAACATGGAGAAGCAGCGGCTCTACTCTGAGCTCCTCCAGTGTGACCTGAGCTCCTCACCCTCTCTCTTAGGGAGCACCCAGCCAAGGCTCATGACCATCAGTGAGGAACGTAACAGTATCTAATCTAATGCTGTAGCTCTCACTATTAAATAGACTTGTGTTTCCCCGGACTCTTAGCTACGCCTCGCTCTCTGGCCTTTTAGTCCAGAGACACCAGCTCTCTGGGTGAAAAAGGTTGGACACTTCTGCTCTGAAGCCACACCACAAACTATCACTACAAGTATAATCAAAACCTTTTATTCATTTGCGGATAACCTCGGACTGGTCTTTACACTGATCTACAGATTTATCCCAAAAGACGATGACAAGAAATATGAAAACAAACCCAGTCAAATACAATGTTCGTGCACAATCTCACTTAACAATGTGCATGCGTGTTTATACACATGTAATACATTGTTATAAACATATATTTTTAGATTAACGAGCATACATGTTTCAAAACAAGTCTGTAATGGAAAAGCAGGTCACATTTGTAAGAGCGTTGCACTGGGCTCCTGTGTGCGCTGACAGCAGACTCAGCAGCGGGAGACTTCTGCCTGTGCATGTTTTTTGGACACAACTTAATCCGAGCTGCATGATTTGGACCTCAGCTTTTCCTGCAACATACTGAACTCTAAAAATAGTTCCATACTGCAATGTTATTCATTAGAACAGTGTGCCAAGGAAAATCAAGACCAAAACCTTTCTGGAGAGTTATATTGCCTGATAGTGAGTTTATGTTTAAGAATATCAACTCCTAAAGAAGACTTAACTTTCTTCTAACTGCTAAATATTGATAATAATATAAGACAGCAATGAGTTTGTAAATGACATGGGGAAACATTAATCCAGTTAGTCCCTTTTCAACTAATCATATGCGGGGGCATAATCATGTTTATTATTCTTTATTGATATGATAATAATTCAATAGAAAAACAAAACCAAACAATTTTCACACACAAAATGGAGAAAGAAATCTACTATAAAACTGAAGTAAATTGGCATATTATGTTCTCTTTTAAATTAAAACAGGAATCCTATGTGGATATAAAAGGTATTTAGTTCTTCTATACCAGACAATAGTAAGTTAGCAATGAAATTACCTTGAAATGTTTCGAGGCGTCTCAGGAAGACGGAAGTACCATGTCACGGTAACACATTGTTAACTTACTATTGTCTGTTATAGAAGAACCAAACACATTTATATTTAAGACAAACTTTGCTAAACAATCATATGTAATATTTCATAACAACAATTCTATACTATAAAAAAAGGACAAAGCAATAACCATTTATTTTCAAACCATGAATTAAAAAAGAAATGTCACACACACACACAATGATAGAACAAAATATAAAACAAAACTACTCCCAAAATGTTATGACAAAAAGTGCTTTCATCTTTCAGCTTTAAACTATCATTTTTTTTGCCATATTTTGCTTTAACAATTTCCACATTTCAACAGGTCGAATCGCGTTTCAGGATTAAACCTGCAGCTCTATTGTCTACATTACATCATCTGAATTCATTCATGTCCTACATTTACACTTTTCCTCTGAAGAATCCTCCTCATTCCCTCCCACAGACCAAAAACACATTATGCTGAAGTGGGAGTTCAAAAGACCCAATTTTATGTCTGAACCACTTCTGAGGTTAAAGTCCTTTCCTGCATACAATCTTTTTTACTTTGTCTGTTTGAGTCACTGGGGGAGGTGTGTGTGATTTAGGATTATGTGGGCAGAAGCTCTAAATATCTTGTGAGTCTCTTTTGGGGTTTGTTGCTGGGATAGAAGAAAAAGACATTAAAAGATATTACTCACAGTAGGACTTCCATATGGGCGGTTGGTAATCGTCAGGATCTGTAAACACACGACAAGAATGTTCCATCATGAAGTCAAGTGCTGGAGCTAGTATTTTACTGCAACTACTATAAACGGAAGACAAATATCAGGACAGATCTGATTGTTGTTGTTTCCCACTAAAAACTGTCCTTGAGATTTAACATAAGCAGATAGAGTAGTGAAAAAATCAAATACTAATGAAAACTATTGCATTGAAACTATATTGGAGCACAAGCAGGAAAATAGACTCCGGAATATGTGGTGTCTTGATTAAAAAAATAAAAATTGACCCCATTTCTTTTCTAATGAGCCGTCTATAGCTGTTGTTGACATGAATTTTTGAGCCTTTTAACCAAGTATCAGACACCGTGACAGGATCTCCCCTTGGACACTCTCCCACAGAGCTGTACAGTTTTAAAGAACATCATCTTATTAAAGCTCTTATTCAATTTTTTATGACATTTGCATTGATTTTGAGAGCTGTAAACATTGATAGCATTTACTGAAATAATTTGTAACTAGCAACAACTGTGTTCAAAAATGCTATTACCAGTCTCAACATGCGACTGTATATACTTACACTAGGAATGAGCAGACCAAAGTAGCAGGATGTATACAGTACTTGCTGGACTATTAATCGCACAAGAGAAAGTACAATTTGTCTGTGGGCTGCTCTTGAATCTAAGCCACAGGTTTTAATGTTGTGATGTAACAGCGGATGGAGCAAAACAATGCACTCCTGATGATCAAAGCACTCTATTTTGAACATAACATTTCTACTAAAAGTTGATAGAGTCAAGCTGTGTATTTCAGAGTATTGCAGAGTTATAAGAACTTGAAAAAAGTAGAGGCTTGTTGTCCAGAAAGTACTGTATCAATTTGTCACTTTGATAGTAAAAAAGTAGTAGATTTGTATTTATTTTTCTTAACAGACGGTAAAATAAAGATGACATACGAGATTCAGAAAACAAATTTAAGCAATGGTGAGAGCCATTATTTTAATCTCGCATCAACCAGGAGTGGGACAAATGCATCTTAAGAATGTGCTTCATGTGGATCCAGGAGAATCATTTGTTGCAAAATGATCAAAGAAGGAAAAGTTTATCCCTTCGGCACAAACCACACCTCAACCCACAGGTGAGGTGATCATCATGACTCATCCTACAAATATGAAACGAGATGGGAACTGCATGATATCAAGACATAACTCTTGACTATATGACTCATGAGATAATTACGCATTTACTGAAATAGCGGCTGAAACAGAGCATTTTGCATTAGATCTAATATCAAGCCAAATATTTTCTGGTTAAAAGACTCATTTGCATATCACGTGTTTGGCTTGGACCGTGCAATCTCTCGGTTCACAAGATCACATCAAATTCACACCAGTTTCAAGAAGGGGTGTAGTCGACAATTTCTGGCATAATAAAAGGCATAACCAGCCAATGGGACAAGGCAAAATAGGAACCGTTTTTCATTCCACAGCAGGGAATTTTCTCAAAATGCATTCACAAGAAGACACCAGTTCATTGGAGTGGAATATAAAATTGGTGCAAAAAGGGTAGACATTGATGAAAGATAAATCCTTTTTTCTGCAAATAAATTAAGTTTAAATCTAAGAACTGGACTTTCCTGACTCACATCTCATTCCTGCTCATTTCTGCTGATGTTTATTTGTTAGAAAGAAATAAAAATCAATTGATATTAATCGACTAAACAAGTGGGTTTCAGTCTAGTCCGAGGGCGAGGTTACATTTAGAGAAAAGTCTGTCAACACAATTTTATGAGCCATCTATAACAGATTAAAACTAATTTGAAACTGGTTCAATTACAATCCAGCATGAGAACACAAGTAAGCCATTTTCAAAAGGACAGTTGCAGAATTCCCAAATAAGAATGTTCTGATCTGTATTCAGTTTCTGGTCAGACCACGAACTGTGTGTAGATAAACAATGCTAAACTCCTAGCTCAGTGAAGCCCAAAAGGGAAGTGCTCATGGATGAAGTTCCAACTCACTCTGACTCCTGTTGACTTACCTTGAAAAGTAAACTCCTCTAGCTCAGTAACAGTTTGTATCACACTCACCATTTTGGGCCCAAGAAATCTGTGAGATCTATTAGAGCTGTCTGTGATCCTGATGTTTATAGAATATTGTCTTTGAAAATCCAGATATGAGCCATATAAGGATTGACCAATCAGATGCCGTCATTCGTCATTCCATCTTCCCTTAGCAACATGTGTGCCTCTTACAGCGCAAAGCAAAGGCAGTGGAAACAAATGCCCATATAAGGAAACCTGCTCCAGCGAGCTTATGTTCAAGTCAGCTTCTTCCACAATCGGGGAAATATACGATCTATGGGTCAGACACAGAAGTGGGAAAATATTCTGTTTGAATGACTCTCACAAGTGACATGACAGTAAAGAAGTCAAACAGAAGAAAGAGCAAAGTTAGTTTTTACTCAAAGAATGTGTTAATCATAGAAAGACTGAAGTGACTTTTGGTTACACGAAGGCTGATTTCATTCAGATTGTTTAAATACTCCCTTTTGCACATGTCCCTGAGCGGCTGACTGTCTGGTGATCTCATTTTCAAACAGTCTTAACCATTAAAGGTTCATTATTATACTGTACAGCAGAATTAAACAATAATCAGCCATACAATTTAATTATTTGGCTTTTATTATTTTATAAATAAAAACCCAATATATTCTCACTTTTTCAAAGAAAATGTAAAGATGATAAACAATGAAAAGCAGATTTATAGTACATGTGTCTTGCTCAATGATTTCAATTGGAACAGAGCAGATATCCTATTCTCTTTCATGTAAACCTTGTGTTGCTCTTTTGCAAACTATTTTTGTGCCATTGGGCAAAACAGTAAGCAAGTCATCTTTATTTATATAGCACCTTTTTACAGGCCAATGCAATGTTACAATGTTCAGAGTTCAAATATTTTTTCCATTCTCTCTCCACATGACGGAAGCGAGACGCAGAACACACTGGTGCATCATATCCTCCAACAAACACCACACATTCACTCATTACATTCAGACCTATTGTACATGTTTTTAGTGGTAGGGGAAACCGGAGCACCCGGAGGAAACCTACGCAGACACGGGGAGAACATGCAAACTTACACAGAAAGACAGACCCAGGACCTTCCTGCTGCAAAGCACAAGCTAGTGTAAGTGTCACGTGTGGTTGCTGAGTGAAGTTGCTGAGACAGCATGCATGCATAAACATATCGCTAAAAGAAAATTAAAATGCAATATTCTGTTTGGTGTTAGATGTTGAAGGAATTGGCGCCCTTCATATTTGTGTAAAATGAGTCTTTTGACCCTCCTTGTTACTAATCCAATCTAAATGTATTTGTAATCTGGATTTCCTGAAAATGTGAGTCATGCTTTGACAACAATCCAGGTTAAAAGCAGTTCTGTTTAGCTACAACTGAAGGATTGTCTCTTCACTCTTTTTAACGTACTGTGATTTTTTATGATTCTAATGCCTTGAATGCTTTCAATGTTTCTTCTTGTTTAATTGAGCACTTTGATTTGCCTTGTTTTATAAACACTGCTAGACAAATAAACACGTCTTGCCTAGTATATTTGACTAACCTCTGAATCTCTATTTTAAAAACAGATATCTTTGGTCAAGTCTTTGTATAATCCATTGTCCTGGCACTTACCCCCACTCACTGCTGCACAGTCCAAAAGATTTATTCCACTGCAGCTTAGTTAAAGAATGTGATTTTTGTGTGGCCGGCCGCCAAATATTTTCAATGGCAAACGTCCTTATTGTGCGGCAGTGTTAACAAAGGAAGTGTAGCTGTGACTGCTTTAAGCTTCCACTGCAAATACATAATACATCTATGCATTGGGGCGAGAACTTTTTTATTTATTTTCTTTATGTCGTCTGATCAATAATACATTCTTCATCCGCCACAGGCATCTTTCCCTAAAGACAAACTTTCTTAATTGCATTGCTCTTGTTATTCTCAACTCAGAAATTAAGTAGAATGATTACCATGGGCTGCTTGCACCAGAGACAAACAGAATTCTTAATGAATAGGCCCCAGGAGCCAATGTCTGCTTTAGTGGGGCTGAGAACAAAAACTAATCCAACACAAAGAACTACTGTACCTTTAATAAAAAAATTAAAAAAATTACATGGCAAATAATTTCTAACACTTTGCCAGCACAAAGATACTTTTGCCATTCTTATATAAATACTCAGTTTTAAATGGACGGTGTGGGGGTTATGTAATGATTATATGAGCCAGACCTCATTGCAGAGACACCATCTGTGAATAGCATGTGGCCAAACCATCATATACATTGGTGGGACAATTCTGGGCACACCTATTTACTATATACTAACCATGCACTGCAGTTTCCTCCCCTTAACCATGTTTTTATGCCCGGTCTCTATGTAAAATGGACTTACGTGTAATTTTGGTTTGTGTCATTGTTGTAATTGTGGATAGGCTACTGTGTTATTAGCATTTCGAAATTACTTGGAAACTTCCCTTTGTGCTGATGCTGATTATGTAGTGTAAAAGGGACTGGCATTAGCCAAGTGGAAAAGATTGTAAAACCAGCTTATGCCTCATGCAGAGGGCTATAATACCATGGTGTTTTTCCGCCACTACTACAAGCAATTTAGTCATTTAGATCGCAGAGAGGAAGCCATACTTTCACTCCGCATTTCTACATTATTTCCTGGAGCTGTCAGATAAATGGGCTGCTCACTTGGCTTCTCTTCTGGTGTGTGTTTGTGTGCCAAGAATGTGTAGAGCACTCAACGAATGATCCGCAAAGCATCCAGGAAGAGGAAGCGCACAATAAGACACCCACACTGTCAGCATCTGTCCCTAAAAGCCCACAGAGGATACAAAAACCATGTGAAAATGTACATACTATGACAGGCTTAACCCTCCATGTATGGATCAGTCCCTCCACCACATCTAAACCAGCCCACGGCCCATCTTACAAGATTACATGTTAAGCTTAAAAAATTTAGTCTGTGCATCATATATTATGTACAATAAAAAGTGACAATAGCAGTGCTGTTTTTTTCAGTCCTAGTGCAGGTCATTAGTGACTTATTGTACAGTCTGACAGCGGTGGGGATAAAGGCCCTGCGGTGGCGCTCCTTCTTGCACTGGAGGTGCCTCAGTCTTCCACTGAAGGAGCTCCTCAGCTCCTCTACAGTCCTGTTAGAGCCCTGCACTTGAGCCCTTGGCCCAACAGCCCGAGGGCCGGGCTTCGGGCCAATGACCGCATAATGACCTCGGACACGGGCCGGGCTCGGGCTCTTCATTTTCAGAGCGGCAGATTACATTTACGAATGCACCTACTGAATATAGCGTTCTATCACGCTGTAGTGTTTGTTGTTCTGTGTAGTGTTGTCATTGACGGCACATAGCGTTACTTACAGGTGTGTTGCAGCATCTGGGCATCATACAGATGCGGCCGTTCACTCTGCACCACTCCGCACACACAGAACTCATTGCAACACATCACTACCATGTATAACTCCGCCCTCTAGCTAAGTCTGCGTTCATATCAGTGCGCGGCACTATAAACTACGCTAAAACATTGTTATGGGAGGTTACAAAAAAAAAAAAAAAAGTCGGGCTTGATGCGGGTTTTGGGCCTGAAAATATATATATCGGGCCATATCGGGCCGGGCCGGGCTGGGGCGCCACCCCCTCGGGTCAGGGTCGGGCTCGGGCCCAGATAATAGGCCCGTGCAGGGCTCTAAGTCCTGTGCAGTGGGAGGTGTTGTCCATGATGGAGGTGACTTTGGTCCATCATGTACTTGAAGCTGTCCACCAGCTCAATGTCCTCCCCCTGGATTAGGACTGGGCGATATGGCAAAAAAGTAAAATCTCGATTTTATTTCCTGCTTTGGACAATTTCGATTTTAAATCGATTTTCATTAAAGTCACTGAAGACTTTGCCCTTAAAAATATGTTTTGATTATACGCTCAATATTCAAATTTCAAAACTATTTTTAATTTGTTTCCCCCAACATGTATTATAAAAGTCTTATATAGACTGTGCTGATATTGCAAATATATTTCATGTGCTGCTGGAACTCTCACAATATCCTTCATTTGATTTCACAATTTTCACATTTTTCACAAATTAGATTTTTTCAAAAGCCGATTAATTGCCTAAATTCCATTTATTGCCCAGCCCTATTCTGGATGTTCAGCGGCGTGTGGGAAAGGGGTTTTCTCCTGATGTCGATTACCATCTCCTTTGTCTTACTGGAGTTCAAGCACAAGTGGCTCACACCAGTCGACAAAGTCCGTGATAACCAACAGGTTTTCCAGTTGGTTCCCCAGTACTGCAGACTACCACCTCAGACTCGCAGCTGCACGTTCTGTGGTTGGTCTGAGAGGTACTGTAGTTGATGGTCCATGCAGTGAGGTGACTGTCCACTCCTGCGTCCTCCATCTGCCCCCACAGTGCTTGAGAAGTCAAAAAACATGACCCTCACAGCTCTCAAAGCTATACATTTGAGCTTTCCATTGCTTTTATACCAGGGATTTCTCGGCACATAGAAAAAAAATAATTTCATTGCATTTATTTATTTGGCAGCTTATCAACAAACGGCTGTAAATCCACCAGAATTATCTCATGGCTACTTTTCATTTGTAGTCCCTATTGTACATCATTTTAGTGGGCGAGGCCGGGGAGAATATGCAAACTCCATGCAGAGTGGCCCTGCACTGGCCAGGTGTCAAACCCTGGACCATTTGTGCTGCGAGGCAAGAGCTCAAGCCACTGTGCCAATGTATGTGATGATGTGGTCTCATTGCCTTCATAAGACCAGGACCTCCAAAATCTAGAGCTGAGTTGAAAGTTTAAGATAAAGTAACAGAAATACACTTTCCCACTCTCATCTATGGTCATGCTTTGGGGGGAATGACCCAAGCAATCCAAATGAGTTTCCTATGCAATGTGGCAGAGGAGGAGCAGGAATGAGTTCAATAACATGGGAGGAGCTCAGAGTAGAGCTGCTTCTCCTACTGATTGAATTTAGACAGCTTCAGATACCTCCTGACATGTCCCCTGGGAAAAAAGACTCCAGAGGAAGATCAGAACACTAATCAGGACACTCAAAGACACACGTCATTATTCTTTCACTCCATACACGATGGTGATAAACTAGTACTGGAGCCACAGCTGCCCTAAGCCACACAGACGGAAATGAGGAACCAGTATTTACCATCGGCTCCTCCGACCACCACCAACCATTCACACACACCAGACTCATTCTAGGCAATGTGGGTTAAGTGTCTTGCCTAAAGACACAACAACAGTTTGACACTTTACAGCTGCGCCACTGTAGCACCTCGTGTTCCCAGAGGTCTCCCATCACACTACTAACCAGGCACTGTCCTGCTTAGCTTGGTCAGGAATGACAGGACCTGGCTTTCAAATGCAGGTATGGCCACTATGCTCAGCTGTCCTGGAACACATCAGGATTCCCCCGGATGAGCTGGAAGAAGGTTGCGTGCACAGGGAATTGTGGGTATCTGCTCAGACTCACATTCACTTATGTTTGTTCCTATTTTGTGATTACTTGCATCGTTCGTTCACGTTTTGTGCAAAGCTTTAACCATTAACACATTCCTGATGCTCAAACAACATCTGAATAATGGTCTTGGTCCAACCCCGCACACACTCCCTTGACATGATTTTTCAGGTTATATTAATTCCATCAAACTGATATCATCTGTGCTTTCAAGCCCACATTCATTTTTCAAACCACAGTCAATAAAACAACTAGACTTATTCTGTGATTGACAATATTTATCAAATGTTGTTTGTTTCTGACTGCCAAATCGCTGAGCATGGGAGTAATAACACCCTTGCGGATCCCTGGCAGCGGCACAGCTTGTAACTTTTGATAATTATATTCAGAGCCCAATGTTAATGACAACCCTCCAGTACCGCAGAGAGAATAGACTTTGCCCTGGAGCCGCACTTGGTCCAAAAAAGTCAATACGGAGCCTTTTGAAACGCACATAGGATAATGCGTTGTGAAAAGTGTGGTGAGTGAGGTCTGTGTTGGCTCCTGTAGACTTCGTAGGAGCTCAGAAATGCAGTGGAACTATGCAGAAGCCTCAAGCCTATAATAAACATATAGACTTACCGTGCAGCTCTCATCTGAGCCGTGTTTGTTAGTATAAAACAACCTGTACTTGTCCTTCAAATGTTTTCTTTGTAATGTTAAAATTATGGGAAAAAATTCATGATTTAATTTTGAATGGGATGGAATTTATGCTGGAAAACATCCAAAAGATCAATATAACCACATTGCTGTTGGATTCACATAATATTGCCTGATTGTACAATGTAGTTATCAGCAAATTCTCCCAAAATAGAAACTATATTGCTTTATGGACATTTTTCCCACCCCAGGAAGTGCCTCTGTTGTCAATCAGATTTTACATCAAAAAGTGACAGCTGTAGATGGATGCACTGCTAAACAAAGCATCACAATCATAGACAGTTAATAATAGATTAGAATGATTAAACTCATCAGCTACAAATGACTTTAACGTATGTCTTTTTCTGTGTGTTTCACAATATATATTTTTTTCCTTCAGGCATCGGACTGACACAAACTTACATGTGAAATATACAGTGCCTTTTTAATGCACAGCGAATGTACAACTAGTCTAATGAATGGAGCTGGAGAATAGACTGTGTTTTAAATTGAATGGACTAAATGAGGCTACACCAGTGTCTCAGTCAATATAACCTACATAGCCCAAGATCAAAGAGCATCATCTCACCAGCCTGTTATGGGGAATGGGCTGTCTGCGCGAAATGATACAAGTTACACAGCGATACTGGCTGTGTATGCATCCCACTTGAAATAATGACAATGTACAAACACGATAGAAATAGTGTGAACTCTTACCGGAAGACAGGGAAGAACCAGAGAGGCTGGAGTTACTGGACACAGCCATCCCAGTCCGAGCGGTCTCTCCACGGCTCGTAGATGCGCTCACATCATCTCATCCTCGGGGCTTCCTCCATCATCACCGGACACGGCTCGGTTTTATTTCACATTTAGCCCAAATAGCAGGTCTGAATCAGCGGTTCTTCTTCCAGCAGAGCAGCTTTCACCTCGATGGGAGCCCACGCTGTCGCATTGGCAGAAGCAGGATGCAGGCATGAAAGGCAAAAGAAAATACACTTAGATCATTGAACGTAAAGCAGGCAGTGCCCAGTCAAGTTTGCCCATGTGGTTTAAGCCGTGTGATAAACAGACCGAGCACGACCGCGTCTTAAAGAGAAAGTTTGTGGGAGAGAAGACGTGCCAAACCCCGCTTCTTCTGACACGGACTGAAAGTAAAAGCCGAGAGGAACCGCGCCACTCAGTGAACATAATTGGACAAAGCTGAAAAAAGGCTGTATCATGTTATTACCGCATTAGCAAAGGAGAATTTACATCATTTGAGCAGACTGAGAAACGAAAGTAAAGACAAGAGCGCCCCCTGGTGGAGAGACCGTGGTCATGCTAGCTTGTCACACTGAAATCTTGGTATTTCGCCCCGGGCAGGGAAATAATCACATTTTATAGCTATGTTATGCTATTTAAATGTGTTATTATGATTCAGAGTCAGGTTTAGGTCACGGTTAAGGTTACGGGTAAGGTTAAGAACAGTTAATTTGGTTAGAGTTAGAGTTAGCTTCTCTTTCTGCGCGACTAAATACTAAGATCTTTTCTCCCAGTTTAGCGCGAGAACTAGCCCTGCATCCGAATCAGAAAATATTTCTCCTTCCTTGTCCTGTTTGCCATTCCTTGTCCTTATATAAAATGCCTTTTATGAGACAACTTGAGAGCCATGTTTAGTCAATTGAAATTAAAGACATTTTTAAGAATATTGAATGACACCAAGGTCGATGAATAGAAGAAGTAAAGATAAGGAAGAAGTGTTTTATGAAATTGGATGTAGCCCGAGATTTTAGCGAGTCGTTATTATTATTATTAGTTGTAGTATTTTGATTATATTAGTATTATGCTAATATTATGGACGATATATATATTTGAAATATATATTTATTCATTATTCATTACAAACTATAATGACATCACCGATCACGTGATCACTGTGGCTGGTCATGTGCCCCGTCTCTCGCTTCATTTTCGGCTCACAACTCCAGAACATAACAATAGATCCATGACCGGAGCGCGCTGAATATACGTAGAATCATGGGGTAAGTTACATTTATTTACTATTATTTAGTGTTAACGCTTGTGCTTCTACTGAGGCTGTCATAATGCCCCTGCAGGAGCATTCAGGCTCTTGGGTTTCTGCTACTGTCGGTTCTTTCACTGGAGGCTATAAACGCCAGGAGCTGTTCCACTTTCTTCTGCCATAAACGCGTTCTCAGCCGGTCCGATGGAGAGGACCCCGGATCCCCGCTCTTCCTCACGCCCTACCTGGAGAAGGGTGCCATAGACGAAGGTAGGCAGCGACTATCATATATCCATAAAATGCTGACTAACAAGATTTGTCTCTTTTGCATATTTGTTATTAGATTAAGTTGTGAAAAGAGTAATTACAAGTACATTACTTTGTGTATCGCCCCGTGCATGTGTTTTCAGACACTGTTTTAAACTATTCTGGGCAAAAACGTGACAGTATTACACAATTATCTTTTTAATTCCAAACATTTCTAAAATTCCATGCATTAACCCAAAACAGCAAATGTAGAACAAATAAGAAATATATTTTACATTAAGATTACACATAATTTCCCCCTAAACCCTTCCATTAACTGCCCCTATCTTAGGTAAGGCTGGACCATACCAAGGACTTTATCAACCAATTAGGGCCCTAGTTGATTTACCCTAATTACCAATCCCAGACTATAGTCTTCTTTAAACAAACTCGGTATGTCCTTTATTTAAAGCCAGAAGCCTGAGTCTGGTTGGGAATCTGCCTGGAGACAATGTGAAGAGCTTTGCCGGCTATTTCACCGTCAACAAGAAATATAACAGCAACCTCTTCTTCTGGTTCGTCCCTGCGCTCATGGTGAGTGCAGTCCTCCTCGTGCACACAGAAAACGCCAAGTCAGCAGTACTTATGTAAGAGACATGTGATGCTGTTTTAAGTCATTGTTTTACTATTGCAATGTTGCTTTTATAGGAGCTTTATGCAGAGGACTCACACAGCAGCTTAAAATGCATATTTTTTTGCTATTTTTATTTGGTGGGAACAAAAGTATTCGATATAGTTATTGACCAAATCGGAGAGGAATTAAAACCAGGAAGAAGAAATATAACCAGGAAGTTCTGACATTGAATAGACTAATTCAATAATAGAAATAACTAGAAACCGTTGCAATGGCTGAAGCCATTGCGATTGACTGCGGAACAGATCTAATGTGGAATTTAGCTGAAAAATCCTTGAAATCCTTGAAACTGTTAAAATACTTTAAACATCTTTGAAACTCCTGAAGTATTTGAAGCTCCTGATATCCTTTAAACTGTTATCCTTTATACTGGTTTTCATGTAAAAACCCCTATTAAGTTCCATTATACTGGTTTACATGTAAAAACCCCTATTAAGTTGCATTATACTGGTTTACATGTAAAAAACCCTATTAAGTTGCATTATACTGGTTTACATGGAAAAATCCCTATTAAGTTGCATTATACTGGTTTACATGTAAAAAACCCTATTAAGTTGCATTATACTGGTTTACATGGAAAAATCCCTATTAAGTTGCATTATACTGGTTTACATGTAAAAATCCCTATTAAGTTGCATTATACTGGTTTACATGGAAAAATCCCTATTAAGTTGCATTATACTGGTTTACATGGAAAAATCCCTATTAAGTTGCATAATACTGGTTTACATGGAAAAATCCCCATTAAGTTGCATTATACTGGTTTACATGGAAAAATCCCTATTAAGTTGCATAATACTGGTTTACATGGAAAAATCCCCATTAAGTTGCATTATACTGGTTTACATGGAAAAATCCCCATTAAGTTGCATTATACTGGTTTACATGGAAAAATCCCTATTAAGTTGCATTGTACTGGTTTACATGGAAAAAACCCTATTAAGTTGCATTATACTGGTTTACATGGAAAAAACCCTATTAAGTTGCATTATACTGGTTTACATGTAAAAACCCCTATTAAGTTGCATTATACTGGTTTACATGGAAAAAACCCCTATTAAGTTGCATTATACTGGTTTACATGAAAAAACCCTATTAAGTTGCATTATACTGGTTTACATGGAAAAATCCCTATTAAGTTGCATTATACTGGTTTACATGGAAAAATCCCTATTAGGTTGCATGATTACACTGAAGTCCTTGAAACTGCTGAAGTCCTTGAAACTGCTGAAGTCCTTGAAACTGCTGAAGTCCTTGAAACTGTTGAAGTCCTTGAAACTCTTGAAATCTTGAAACTGCTGAAATCCTTGAAACTGTTGAATCCTTGAAACTGTTGAATCATTGAAACTGTAGAAATGTCTGAAAGAGCTGAAGTCCTATTAAAATGCATGGGCCTATTAAAATGCATTGCAGAATTCTCAATGCAGATTTTTGTCCGATTGCGGAAAAACCGGAAATCGCTGAAGTCCCAAAAGTAATAGCAATAATCTCCCAAACATGTGGAACGTTTTGATGTATAACTTGTGGAAATTGTTGAAAATGTGAAAGCTGTGAAACGTGTCAAAAAAAATGACGGAATAAAGAAATACAAAACCAATGGTTGACTGCGGAAGGTTCCGCAGTCAATCAATAACTAGAAACTTGCAATGGCTGAAGCCATTGCGATTGACTGCGGAACAGATCTAATGTGGAAATCTGCTAAAAAAAATCCTTGAAATCCTTTAAAAGGCCTTGAAACTGTTAAAATACTTGATAGATATTTGAAACTCCTGAAGTCCTTGAAATTGTTGAAACCTTTAAACTCCTGAAATCCTTGAAACTGTTGAAACATTGAAACTCCTGAAATCCTTGAAACCCCTATTAAGTTCCATTATACTGGTTTATATGTAAAAAAAAAACCCTATTAAGTTGCATTATACTGGTTTACATGGAAAAATCCCCATTAAGTTGCATTATACTGGTTTACATGAAAAAAAACCTATTAAGTTGCATTATACTGGTTTACATGAAAAAAAACCCTATTAAGTTGCATTATACTGGTTTACATGGAAAAATCCCTATTAAGTTGCATAATACTGGTTTACATGGAAAAATCCCCATTAAGTTGCATTATACTGGTTTACATGAAAAAAACCCTATTAAGTGGCATTATACTGGTTTACATGAAAAAAAAACCTATTAAGTTCCATTATACTGGTTTACATGTAAAAAAAAACCCCTATTAAGTTGCATTATACTGGTTTACATGGAAAAATCCCCATTAAGTTGCATTATACTGGTTTACATGAAAAAAAACCCTATTAAGTTGCATTATACTGGTTTACATGGAAAAATCCCTATTAAGTTGCATAATACTGGTTTACATGTAAAAAACCCTATTAAGTTGCATTATACTGGTTTACATGTAAAAACCCCTATTAAGTTGCATTATACTGGTTTACATGGAAAAATCCCTATTAAGTTGCATTATATACTGGTTTACATGGAAAAATCCCTATTAAGTTGCATTATACTGGTTTACATGGAAAAATCCCTATTAAGTTGCATTATACTGGTTTACATGGAAAAATCCCTATTAAGTTGCATTATACTGGTTTACATGGAAAAAATCCCTATTAAGTTGCATTATACTGGTTTACATGTAAAAACCCCTATTAAGTTGCATTATACTGGTTTACATGGAAAAATCCCCATTAAGTTGCATTATACTGGTTTACATGAAAAAAAACCCTATTAAGTTGCATTATACTGGTTTACATGAAAAAACCCTATTAAGTTGCATTATACTGGTTTACATGGAAAAATCCCTATTAAGTTGCATTATACTGGTTTACATGGAAAAATCCCTATTAGGTTGCATGATTACACTGAAGTCCTTGAAACTGCTGAAGTCCTTGAAACTGCTGAAGTCCTTGAAACTGCTGAAGTCCTTGAAACTGTTGAAGTCCTTGAAACTGTTGAAGTCCTTGAAACTGTTGAAGTCCTTGAAACTCTTGAAATCTTGAAACTGCTGAAGTCCTTGAAACTGTTGAATCCTTGAAACTGTTGAATCATTGAAACTGTAGAAATGTCTGAAAGAGCTGAAGTCCTATTAAAATGCATGGGCCTATTAAAATGCATTGCAGAATTCTCAATGCAGATTTTTGTCCGATTGCGGAAAAACCGGAAATCGCTGAAGTCCCAAAAGTAATAGCAATAATCTCCCAAACATGTGGAACGTTTTGATGTATAACTTGTGGAAATTGTTGAAAATGTGAAAGCTGTGAAACGTGTCAAAAAAAATGACGGAATAAAGAAATACAAAACCAATGGTTGACTGCGGAAGGTTCCGCAGTCAATCAATAATGAGGATGTTTTCTTATCTGTCAAATACTGTAAGAGTTAGAATCACAGAATCCTTACCTTTATGGTTTGTCAAATCAGAATTACAGATTTACACACTCAACTAAAAACAACAACTTGTTTACAACTTGTTTTTCTTCTGTCACAATTTGATGATTAGAGTATTATTTCTTTGTCCGATAATAATAGAAAATACTTAAGGTAACTACTATTTTAGTTTTTAAATAACAAAAACCTAATGTACCTGAGTCCTCAGATGCAACTGAAACATGATCAAATATTAAGTTTCTGTTCACAATTATTGATTCTTATTTTTTTTCATAACTATATGAACAATGGACACATCGTAACATTGTGTACGTATGTAATCTGTACTACAGGCCATTCAACATAAGGCCCTGGGGCTAAATCAGGACCCAAACCATCTCACCAATCACTCCAAATAGAAAATATATGTATATATTGTGCCAATTAAATTCAATGTTCTCCTTCAGTCCTAGTCTGATTCAGCCTCGGTTTGGTTTTGCAGAACAACTTTTAGGTTGTTTTCCTTTTTATAGTGGATGCTGTTTGAAGCATATATGTTACAGGTGTTAGAAGACCCGTAACGCACATTTATCCAGCCCTAAAATAAGCAGAATGATCCTCTCATGGTTTAGTTTTGTCTTGCTAAAAGTAAAAGTCCAAATCCTCCTACTTTCATTTCACCTTTATTTAACCAGGAAAGTCTCATTGAGATTAAGAACCTCTTTTTCAAGGGAGTCCTGGACAAAAGTTACATACAGTTACATACATTACAGATTATAAAACAGTCACATACATATTATAAGAATAGTCACATACAATTTCATAAAATTACGGATGATAAAAAACAGTTACATTTCAATGAGGATGTCTCAAGTGCTCTCTATCCGGATCTAAAAGCATTCAATAAAATAAGTTTAGACAATTTCCAGTCTTTTTGCCCATGTAGAAGGAGCAGCAAATACAAAAGCTTTTTTGACTGCAAACCATATGAACCAACATCTCTTTGTGTGAGTAAATGGCAGATGTAAGAGGGCAGCAGACCAAGCATAGCCTTATAAACAAATGTGCACCAGTGTCCAAACCTTCTGATGGACAAAGAAGGCCATCCCACTGAAGAATATAATTCACAGTGGTGAGTCAAGGCTTTGCAGTTCGTAATAATTTCTCCTATTGTTTTTCTTTCAAAAGTGTCAGTTTTAGCAGAGCTGCGTTGCTCTTGTATGTCACACCATGTCCACACGAGGGCGCTCACACACCTCTGTCCTCAGTCAAACCGGGACAAGGCTCCAGTCCTGCTGTGGCTGCAGGGGGGCCCGGGGGGAACCTCCCTGTTCGGCCTGTTTGTGGAGCACGGGCCCTATGTGGTGTTCAAGAACATGACCGGTGAGGACAATTATCACTAGATCTGTTATTGTTGTTATTATTATTATTATTATTATTCTTTTCAGTATTATTTCAAGTATCATTTTTATTTTTAGAACAGCTGGGATGGTCTTTCAAATTGACACAGGATGCAAAACATGTTGCTTACAGACTTCACCAACGGTTCATATTTCACTATTCATACCACATCAGCAACACAATATAATATATAGTGAAAATAAATACATTATCAGACGATAAAAAAAGCTTTATTGGAAATCTGCTGAAGAAATATATTTTGTTCAAAGTTAATATCATTAATGTTCATATCTCAATAACCACCAGTATAGTTTACTTTACTCAACAGTAACTTCATTTATTTGATTTGTTCTCTGGTTTTGAGTACTTTTTACATTCCCACTGCTCTTGAACTATGCATTTCTTCTAACTGAATGATTCCTCCTTGTTGTTTGCAGTGGGGATGAGGGACTATGCCTGGACGTCCAGATATTCTGTGCTGTACATTGACAATCCGGTCTGTACTAAGTCTGACTGACGCTTGGATTGTAAAGACGTTTGTTGACTTGTTTCTCGTGTTTCTGAAGGTCGGCACCGGCTTCAGCTTCACGGACGACGACCGCGGCTTCGCCCAGAATCAAGACGACGTCGGCCGCGATCTTTACAAGTTTGTACTTCTGTTCACTAACGAGAAATGATGTTTTAATACACACACACCGTCACGTTTCTGCTGGATTTACTTCCAAGCTGCTGTTCTGCTGTGCTCTATGAAATAATGATAATAAATAATGAATCTTTATTTGCATAGTAATTTTCAAAAACAATGTATACAAAGCACTGCACAAAAACAGTCATAATAATAAAATATATCAAAAAGAAATACTGAAAATAAAGCAGACGACAAGAAAGACAAAACAAAGACAATGTGGAGCAATATACAAATGTATCTGGCCAGTTGGTAATTTATCATAAAAGTGTGATCAAAATGAAAGAAATTTTATTTCACATTTTTGTAATTTGCTTTAAAAAAAACAGATCTGAGCCTTCCATCCACCGCACCATCCATCGGAAAAATGGCAACCTTTATTTGACAATAACAAACTAAAGCAACTCTTCTTTCCTCTGTCCTTTCTCTCATAAAGCGCTCTCACACAGTTCTTCCAGATGTTCCCAGAATATCAAGACAACGAGTTTTATGCGACTGGAGAGGTACAAAAATCTTTCAATATTGCGCTAAATAGTTTTTATAGATTTGATCAGTGATTAGTCGACTTCTGTAATCTTGTTGCATGCAGTCATACGCCGGGAAGTATGTGCCAGCCGTGTCCTACTACATCCACAAGAACAACCCCTCGGCCAAGACCAAGATCAACTTCAAAGGCATGGCGATCGGAGACGGCCTCTGCGATCCTGAACTGGTCAGTCTGTCAATCAATCAATCAACAGTTCAACATTTAAAACCAATTAACCCTCCCCAGGCAGACGTTGCATATTATTTATTACTTAACTACTCCACATCTGTATTTTTGACCCTTTTTTCCTCAGAAGTACCACTGCTGGACTTAGTTGAGCTTTAGAAAAACACAGTTTCCACCTGCTCACCAGGGGGCGCAGCTGTCTCACTTCCAAAATGTCAGTCTCTTTGGTTTCACAGAAACAGATTTTCTGGGCATCAATTTCAAGTCAGTATCACGACCAACCTCTAATAATTGGAAACCCAAACTGCGTAAAATGAAAAAAGAACCTATATAGATACAGAACATGCCAATTATTAGATCATATCTCTTCTGGGTTTTTCCCCGGGTCAGCTCTATTTACCACAGCGAGCCATAGCTAACTATGATAATTTTACTCAAATGTTAGTTTTCTTGTCATTCAAATTAAATTGGCCCTGAGAGGTTAAAACACACTGTTAAGACAAATGCAAATGATGAACAAAAATGTAAAACAGTTTAAAAAACACCTGATGATCTGCTGCCTAATGATCATAAGTCATAGGCACGGCTAAAAAGAACTGTTTTCAGCCTGGACTAGAATATAACTAGGGTAGAAGCCTGTCTCACACCTTCAGGAAGATTTTTCAAGATTTTTCAAGATTTTAGGTGCATAGGTCTGGAACGCTGCCTCCCTGTGTCGAGGCCTGACCCTGGGCACCATCATGAGGCCTGTCCCTGTGCTCCTCCGAATCCAATATGATCTGAATCTTCTAATGACCCATAGAGAGTATCCTCCCTTGGACAGGCCTGATGCTCTGTGCTTTGCAGATGCTCGGTGGTTACGGGGAGTTCTTGTACCAAACCGGGATGATTGACGAGCGTCAGAAGGAGTATGTGAACCAGCAGACCGACCTGGGACAGAAGCTCATCCAGCAGGAGAAGTGGATCGATGCCTTCAAGGTGAGCTTCCTGCTGGTGCAGTTAGCAGGGGCTGACCACTCCCTGAGGAAGTAACTGGCTTTGTGAGGTCCCCTCCTCTGGTTCTTACTGTCTTCAATGTGTGATTTCCCTGTGTCTAGTTTTAAATGATTGCTTAAATAGGACTATGAACTGATGATGTTGAATCCAAACTTTGAGGAAAAGCCATTCCTCCAAATGGACAAATACACTTTTTAATCTGGGTATCACGCCACAAATATTAACCAGGATGGAATAGTCTTTTATTCCAGAAATTATGGCTGTGACAAGTTAATCAATTAATCAATTTTGAATTATCAATTTAATAGTCATGAACTAATTTAGTTCCTTCCATAGCCGTAAAAATGTGAATATGAGATTTTGATGGTACTTGTGCAATGAAATATTTACGTTGCTTTGGTGTTTAATGGGTTCACTTCTGTCTAAGTGAACCCAGAATAATGCTTGGTTTTCTTATCATTGTGTTTCTTTAGGTCTTTGATAAGTTGTTGAATGGAGACTTGGACCCGTATCCATCCTTTTTCCAGAATGCCACAGGCTGCACCAACTACTTCAACTACATGATGTGTCAGGTAACATCCTCAACCTGTAGCACTTTAAAGTGCATATGGCCGTAGGCTGCACAGCTCCTTTATGAAGAATATTCTGCATGTTCTGATATGTGATTGTTTAATGATATTACAGCAGGAAGTCCTTGTAGCAAATGGAACATCCGGTAAATTATTTGACAGAAAGGGCTGTCTGAGTCACTATTTGACACTTTGGGCTAAGTGAGTGTGGTCCACTTTTCACTTTTCAAGCTGATCTAAAGAAGTGACGGAGGCCAACAAATGCATGCATGTGAAAACTAGAGAAGCAAACCGTTTTAGAGCCAGGAACAAGATTCTGGAATAGTCTTCCTGAAGATGTGAGACAGGCCTCCTCTCTGACAATGTTTAAAACCAGGTTAAAGACAGTTCTGTTTAGCTGTGCATACAACTGAGGGATTTTATATTGTTATCTTTTTTTTAATTTTTTTTAATGTACTGTGATTATTTATGATTTTAATGCTTTCTTGTTTTGTTCAGCACTTTGAGTTGCCTTGTGTATGAATTGTGCTATACAAATAAACTTGCCTTGCCTTGCCTTGCCATAGATTGAGTACCTCAGCTTTTATATAAGAAATGATTTGGAGAATCTGCCCATCTTTTCCTAAACTGATGGTGTGTTTGTGTGTGGTCAGGAGCCCGCGGACCAGGAGTACTTTGGGCAGTTTGTGACATTGTCCTCGGTGCGGCGTGCCATTCATGTGGGGAACCTTAGCTTTCACGACGGCTCCGAGGTGGAGAAACATCTGATGGAGGACGTTATGAAGAGCATCAAGCCCTGGCTGGGAGTGCTCATGGACAAGTACAAGGTGAGGAGACCAACAAGACCAGAGATTAAGATCAAGGACTCTTTCAATTCAATTAAATGTATTCTTCAGCTATCTTATGTTCAAATCGGCACTGGGTCAGTCTGCCCTAATCCATATAAATGTGTGTGTGTGATGTGTTGTGAAGGTGTTGATCTACAGTGGTCAGTTGGATGTGATCGTAGCTGCCCCTCTGACGGAGAGGTTTCTGCCCACGGTGAACTGGAGCGGAGCAGCGGAGTACAAAAAAGCCCCACGATTCCCCTGGAAGATGCAGCCCAGCGACACGGAGGTGGCAGGCTACGTCCGGCAAGTGGGAGAGTTTTTCCAGGTGAGCTTTTTGATATTTTATCTACTTTTTATGTTGTTTTTTGCCCATTTTGAGGTTTTGTGGAAATAAGGTAAGGTGCAATATAAATAAAATGTATTGTTAGCGCGTTCGTTACGACTATTGAAAAACGGCACAAAACTATGGCTTGAAAACGTAGCAAAACAAAGAAGTGACAGGGGTAAGCTGTAGCCTTTCTGCTCTCCTAAAGGCGCTATACAAATAAACCTTACTTACTTACTTAGATTGTAGAAAGGACAATCTTCTATTTCACCCAGAGCGCTACTTTCCCGGGACAATAAAGGCAGAGAGCTACTTCTTTAAGCGTGTGATGTGGATATATTAGTGTGAATGAGCCTTAAATGGGTACAGTCATTATTTATCATCACATATTTGTTACTAGTGCACAAAGTGAGTGCATTTACAATAATAAATAATGAAAAAGAATAATACCATCTGAAATATGGTATTTTATTCCTACCTGGAAGGGGGTTGGCGAGCTACTAGTGGCTCCCCTGCTACAGGTTAGAGACCCCTGTTTTAAAGTATTAATTAATTCATTTTCATCCCCTTTATGAATTCATTTCTGGGTCAGGGGTGGTGGCAATCGGAAAAGTGGGGTTAAGTGTCTTGCCCAGGGACACAGCGACTGCAGGCTTAAGTGGGAGCAGTTGGAGTAGGTCTTGTGAGGGAATCGAAGCCACTACCAGTTTAAAGTAGTTATTCTTAATTACAAATACAATGGACATGATGACCATTGTATGTAATTATTTTATGATGGCCATAATATTTATGTTAACACTTCTCAAGAGATTGGGATGCCAGTTTGTTGCCAGGTGAAATTGAGCTGTTTTGTGTCTGTGAATGTTGTTATATATTCACTTTTTTAATGCTGTTTTGTATGGAAGCCCGTTTCCGCCATGTAAAAAAGCCTACAGAAAGTCAAAATTTCGGCTTTAAAAGTCAAAATTATCATTTCAGCCGTGGAAATACTCGCTTCGTGTGGACCCCTCTCAGCGCCATCGTCTGGTCAGAGTGGTCTATAGCAGATTGGATTGGAATGTCTCGATGGCTCATTTTCCTTTGATTTATTATAAAAACGTATTGCTCACATTATTTGTTACTATGTTGAAACAAGAAGTTGTTTGATTTAAATGTTGTATATATGTAAATTGAATTTAACATAAATAAATAAAAAGACAGCTCCTCCCTGCGCCCTACGACCGCGGTCTGGGGCTTAAACAGGAAAGTTTTACAGAATCAATCAAACAACATTATTTCTGGCTACTTCAAGGATGCAGTGGTCACTGTAGGCAATATCTTCACATAACCTGCAGGTGAAGGACGTCCAGAGACCGTTCCAGACAACAACACATACGAGTTTTCAACTGCACATGCGCAGTTGAAAACTCGTAATTTTGACTTTTAAAGTCGAAATGTTGACTTATAAAAGTCGTAATGCATGGTGGAAACGGGCTTCCATAGTTTTGAATGAAAGTAGATACAAAAAAGATAACTCATAGGATTTGTGCCGTTTCTAGCTAAACTCTAACAGGTGGATCGTATCAGTAATCTGCTACATGTGTCTAAGACCAGAAGATTTGGGAAACAAAAGTGTGATTTTAATGCCTTTGTTTATAACACCTCTGAGAGCCTCTTACGTACCACCCCAGTATTATTTTGGTTCTCTTTGGTTTTGTAGATGTTATATTGTGTCATGGAAACAAGTAACCCTCATTTTATAATCAATTATAAAATAAGGGTTATTACATTGGATGCTGAAGAGCACAAGCTTCTAATTAAAAGTTAAATTACTCTTGTTTTTCATGTGTCACAGGTCATTATTCGAGGAGGCGGGCACATTTTACCCTACGACCAACCAGCACGCTCCTTTGACATGATAGACAGATTCCTATCTTCTCTGGGATGGGCGTGAATTACAGCCTGATGAAAACAAAAGGTCTTTGGTAAAATCCAGACCATTGTTTTAACAGAAATGATCAACCACTGATTTTCAAAATGTGCATTTGTCTTTGAGACACAAATACTTGACTGCTGTGCGGGAGCTGGGTTGTTTATCAAATTGATAAATGTGCAAATGGGTTAAAATGGAATATTTCTAAATAAAGTAATTCTGAACAATTCAGCCGATATCTTATTTGTCCACTAGGGGTCAGTCTAACTTCTGCACAAAGACCAGAGTCTTTAGGGCCATTATGGCGTATGGAACATTAAGTTACTTGGTCAGTCTAAGACATCAATGTTTAATAAGTCAAATGTTTAAACTGCTGATGCTCACAACAAAATGTCAGCATCAGGCGTTTGTTCGCTGAAGAGAAGTTGTGTGTTATTTCATCAGATGACGATCACGCCGTCTAGACGCTTGAATAATGAATGAGCATTCTAAACCTTTAAAAGATATAAGTATTTAATGAGCAGCGTTTTGAGCCTCCACACATCATTAGTTCTTATAGAAGTGAGCGTCACGTCCCTGGAGTGAGAGAAACGCTGCCGTCGACACATTCAGGACTCACTGTTACAGAACAAGTGCTTTATTGTTCATACCGTAATGTAAATGCAGTGATACTTTCATCTGTACAAATGTAAACAACTTGAGACAATGACAAACACACGTATAAAATGAAGCAATGGAATTACAGTTCAATACCTTAAACGTATATAAGCTGAAGAGCCTCGACAAAGACAGAAGGCAACAAGTGCAAACATAAGTATTTTACAGATGTACCACTCGCTCCTCATGGAGAGAGCTGGTTGCATTACACGGTTACATAAAGGAATATTATGTACATATATAGTTTAATATTCAAAATGATACAATTTAATATCATTAATGCTTTGGAGATGGTCTCCCTCTCAGATAATTGCACACACACGTTGAACTTTCTCCTGCTTACGCTCTGTTACAATGAAACTGTTTCCAGTTGAACTTGAGGTCAAAACATTTTCACATGCAAAAAAGGTTAATTTGGAATGATCTATGAAACTAGATATGTTTTCAAAACTACAACCAAATATAAGGCAAGCTTCATATCAAAATGCTTGGTTTGACAAAGCCCTTTTGGAGAGAATGCCCCATCTCTGAGAGCCACGGCTCCGACAGAACAGTCCAAAGCCACAGAGAGCTTCCTTCATTCATGGAGCTGTGGAGTTTCATGGGGACAAACAGAACTGGCGATGAGCTCAACTCTGTTTGGACAGATATGTACGATCATAGAGCCAACACTTCGCTGGTGTGTGGAAACGGGCAGTCACTGAGAATTACTTGGACCTTAATATGGCTATTCAAGCCTCTGAGACAGAGGGCAAAGTGCATAGATACATGTAGCTCTGCGCTCGCTCCACCTGTTAGTGGAATGTCATCCACCCATCTGTAAAACACAGTGCATCATGGTCATGGTCATGCTCATTAAGCAACATTCCTGGTCATCGGGAAAAAGTACATGAGAAGGCATTACGTTTCAAGGCAGGGAGATGGAGAAGCTCAAGCCTGGTTCAGTCTGTTCCATTGGCATTTTGAAACACAAGAAAAGCCTGAGAGAAAGCACTAGTGGAGCCTTCAGAGGTCACATCTTAACATCGCACTTCTTTCTAGGCTAATTTTTGGTCTTACATGCAACAGACGTCCAGTCATAGACACTTTCCTCATGGTTACCACGAGAAGAAACATTGATTGTTCAGAAGAAATGATAAAAGTGGCACCATTCTGCCCACGCTCATGTAAAAGGATTCAGGCACATTGTGACACAAGCAGATACAAAATGCTCCTCAGGGAAACATGCCCAGCCACACGTCAAGAGTTGAACTTTGTTCTGAGACAGAAAAACACATGCGTTCACAGACAAAATAAAATAATACATTATAGTCAATGGGAAAGTGGATCCAAAGACTGGATCCAAATGCATGAAGAGAAAGAGCCACTATACGAAAAGCTTAGATTGGTCCTGGAGAGCGGAGCGTCAACCCCAAGCTGCCTCACTGGTCACAGTATACAGTTCTAAAGCTACAACAGCGCTGTATTCCTCTGGACCACACGGCTTGGCCACATCGATCACAGCCAGGAGATACTTTACAAACAGGATAATGTCAAATGATCAATACTGAGATGTATTGCTTCTATTTGATGATACTTTAGTGGTGTTCTTTCAGAACACCGCTGTGGATAACAGTCATGTCTCAGACAGCTCCATGTTTCATACGAACACAACACACTGATGTCCGAGCTGAAGGTCAGTGTCCGCTCTGTCCCACAGAGACTGAACCCTCTGAGCAGAGTCGCTGGTTAAACAGTACATGGAACCATTGCATTAGGAGTTCATCTATAAAAAATACACAAGACGCTGCTGTATAAAGAGCTGCTGAGGTCTGTGGTCATGAAAAAGGGCACAGTCTTTTCTCTAGTGACATGGGTTAATGTCTGTGCGGTGATTGGGCGGGCCGAGCACACCGCTGCCCCCTACAGACGTAGTGGAGGTGGTGATGGTGTTGTGCTGAATGACCTGCTGCTGGGAGCACACTGGGGCCGGACTGCTCGCTGGACTGGACTCTGGACCTGCAGACAGGAACACAGCACTGAGGGCCGCAGCAAGAGGGTTAGGGTTACATATTTATTTGTGTGGATTGCCTTACACTACAGGAACAGCAGCATGTTGTGGGATAATTATTCGTTATTAGTCGTTTCCATAGCCACACATGAGAGAAATAAAGACTGATTTGATTTGCCCTTTTTGAAAGAACTATTGCGTCCATAACGGAGCAGAATGTGATTTTCCTGCGCACACGCCTCACAGGGTGGGGCCTTCTCTCAATTACACTCAAATGTCACTGCTGTCTGTGTCCAGGGCGGGGCGGCCGTGATGGGACATGGGTGTTCATCAGAGCGTCCAGGAGTTTGAAGCGCTCTCAGTGACATGTTTGCAGCGCGTGGGAATGCAGCTTTTAGAGATGGGGGAAAAAACGAGAGGATATTTTCCAGAAAGTCTTTCCACTGAGATTGTGAATGTGTTCTGAGGCGTGAGAGACTTATCTGTTACTGACGAACACGAGATAACTTGGAATAATTATTGTATCAAGACATGGCTCAGAGCATAGATACTGTGTGTGTGTGTGTGTGTGTACTCACTGAGGTAACCCTGGGACTCCTTCTGCATGGTGGTGATGGGACAGTCCTTGTGTGTGAGGAGGAGCTGCTTGAGCTGTGTGACCTCGCTCTTCAGCAGCGTCACTTCATTCTGAAACACACATTTAATGCATTTGTTTTTCAATTCCATTTATACTTGTGTAGCCCTAAATCACAACAGGAGTTATCTCGGAGGACTTTACACAACTGTTGAATTTGAAACAGTTCAAACACAAGAAATACAACTGTAAACACATTGGTATTGGTCCATAAAGAGGCAGAAGAACAATGTCCATAAATGCTGATAAATGAGGAATAAAAGGAAGGGAACACGTTGTAAGTGTTCTTTTGACCCTCCTCATGAGGAAAAGAACATAGTGTATATTTTTTGGAAACAATGCCTGGACCCTTTGATTGAGATTCTCTTCTGACGATTAACAATTTGATGTAAAATCAAAGATCCTTAGCCATAGATACTAGCACATAAAAGACAATCAATGGATTGTAAAACAGACATGAAAATATAGATTTACCGTTGGCTGAGCTGAAAATGTGTGAATGATGATTGCTCTCTCTCTATAGATACTGAATTCTAAGGGACAACATGACCCACAAATTATATCATATATATACATATATATGAGAGGAATATATCACAATAAAAAAGAACTGGGGAAAATCTTCAAAACTGCCAAACTTTATTTAGAAATACAGAAAAATAATTAATCAGTTTTATTGCTCTGATAGCTGTTTGGCTCTATTACTTGTATCAGTACTTTTGGACTATCTTTAGATGAGCTTTTCCAGAATCCGAAATATTTTTATTGCCAATGTAAGTAACAGGAAGTTACAAACTAGGAATTTGCTTTGGCTCAAGGTGCAAACAAGTTGTACGAGTACAAATAGGTAAAGGCATGCATAACCAAATCTTCATACCTTTCTTAAAATGACTACTATATTCAAGTTCAGTTTACTAAGTACACACAATAGACCTTTAGCAGTGCAGTAAAGTGACAGTAGCATAAAGTGATGGTCATAAAGAGCAGAGGTCAATGATGAGTTATGAAGTGTTCATGGGGAAGAAACTTCATGAGGGGAAGAAACTGTTCTTATGGTGGGAGGTTCTGGTCCGGATGGACCATAGCGCAGTCTCAACTGCAGTGTGACTGCAGCCGCTGGTTCTCCACCGTTCAGACCAAAGAAAACATCACAACTGCGCATTCAAATAAATGCTATTGCAGTTTTTCAGTTTCTTATCGCTTTCTGGAAAGCAGCTCAGTGACCGATACATCCTCAGTGGGAAACTTTAGTTTATCTTGTAATGACTTTTACCATGTCAATGACCCCGTTATCAAAGTGTGTAAAGTAAATCTGAGGTCTGTGATTGTGACCCACCTGCAGCTGCATGTTGGTCTGAGTCAGCTCCTCTGCTTTCTTCTCTAAAGACATGACCCACACTTTCCTCTTCTGTCGACACCTGGTCGCCGCCGCTCTGTTACGCTCTAGAAACTTGCGTCGTCTTTCGTCTGGGTCTTCGTCCATGACTCTGCGGCGCCTCCCACTGCCCGGAGGAGGCGACTGCAGCGTCTGCGTGGGCTGCATCTGCTGCGTGGCGGGAGACATCTGCAACGGCATCAAAACAGGTTTTTATCATATTTCTTGTTTGAACAATTTTGCCTGAACATGATGTTGAATTTTACTTTGAACAATCATCATCAAGTTAAAAGTTGTTTTCTCTGTGCCAAGAACTTTTTTCTCAACATGATGAATTTGAAAACACAGAGTTATGATTGAAATCATTCTTTAAATAAATAAAAACATATGTCAAATGTAAATTTGTGATTCCCTGAGACTGGTTCCTTTAAAATACAATTTTTGAACAAAAACGCCCTGAGCTCTGCCCTTTCTACAAGGTGTCAATGAAACATGTTCGCAGACCCCACTTCACTGCATATGGAGTTAAAACATGGACAAAAGATGTTAGAAGACGATTTGCAACGTCCCCTTTCAAAGTAAATCTCAGCATGAGGAAAAGGGGAGTAACGGTGTGGAACAGCACTATATACTTCTTTAACTTTTTTTTTATTTTTGTAGATTTGTATGTTCTATTTTGTTGTTTTTAACCTAGACTTGTGAGTATTAGAGAACTAGTTCTTTTTTTAACATTATTTTATGAAAAAGAAAAGTCTGGGAAAGTTTTTCTTGAAGAACCCATAGCATTTTTTCCGTCCTGCCTTGTCACAGACTGCATCATTGATCCCTCCACCACAACACAACTGGAAAACAGCCTGCACACACTGCCACCACGCACCAACCCAGCAGTGCAAACACGCGTCCATACATTACCCCAGTCATTCCTCTGTCTGGCTGTGGCCCAAACACAACACCTGCTTGTGCCTGGGCCGCGGCTGTGACTCACCTGGCGGCCCACTTGGTTGAAGAGGTGTGAGGAGGAAGTTTCCACCACCCACTTCCACTCAGACAGACCGCTCCAGACGGCACCCAAGACGCCCGCTTCTGCATGGCCAGTGCGCTGACTGATGCTGACAGGGACTTGGCGAGGTCAAGTGGTTCAGTCTTCAGCTCATTACCATTTTTAGAACAACCAATGGGAAAAATACAAGCTGCTTTAATGGCCAGTGTGTTGTTTTAATGCCCTAATGGCGTTTTTGAGAGTTCTTCGTCCAAACTACTACTAGCGTTGAATCAGACATTAGTACACAGCCCATCTACTTCTGGAAGATGCCGCTGTTGTCATTCTGCTGGCCTGATGGTGCATGTTCTAGACATCGAAGCTACACTGAAGCCTCAAGCACTGACCTCTTGATAGACCACAGACAACGATTATTCTTTTCTAAATATATCAAACAGGGATGATTCGGCAGCAATGTGCAAGCTATTTTCCCAAAAAAACCAAAAAAACTAATATACTCCAGGCGCCTTTGATGTGATCAGGTTTTTGTTGATGTTGCGTCAATGGGCAGTGCAGATTCATGTGGCAGGACTACATATGGCTTTTAACAGCGCGTGAGTTGTGTGGTCCTCTTTTTATTTTGTTTTGTTTTATTTGTTTCATTGTTTTTATCTGGTTCTAACTGGTATTTTATCGTTTTTATTATTACATTTGTATTGTTTTTACTTTGTGCATATTTAAATGTGTTGATTTTATCTCTGTGCAGCACTTTGGAAACTTGCTTTATAAGATGTGCTATATAAATAAAGTGGATTGGATAGGATTGGATGAAGACTTTAATAATCCCTCCATCAAGAGGAGTACGAGGAGCTACAGCTCGCTCACAGTCAGGAAGCATGTTACTAAGACGAGCTAATGAAAAAACATGCTTCTATTCTCATCTAGTAAGACAAAAGTAGTCTATAGCAAAATTGTTTGATTCTCTGATCTGTTGTTGGCGAATCGACAACTGCTGTTGTAATTCAGGACTATACAAAAATAAATTTAATTTAATTTAATTGAAAACACACGACCCCTTTTAAGGGTTCAATTCTTACAATTAACTTTGGTAACAAGATGAATATGGCTGCCTTGGCATTTCATATCTAGTTAACAGGCAAAATTTTCTAATATATATAATAATATACATTGTCTCAGTCTGTAATACCTCCTTTTCTTTTGTCCAGTTTTGATTTAATTCAAAGATAACAACATTACCATACAGGGTTAACCAAACTCATGAAAACAAAACAAATTACTTGGATTAAAATTAAAAAAAATTCAGAAAATAAGTTGAGCTTCAAACAAAGTTTCCAGAAAGAAAACAATGGAGACCTTTTTAATTAAAGAGGAGACCCAGCAGAGAGCTCACCTGTGAGGGGTGCATGGGTGCATGGGGGGAGCTCTGGTGGTGTCCTGGGTGCATGTGGGGGTTGTGGGAGTTGTGGTGGGGGGCGTGTCCTTGGTGGTGGTGGTGGGCTCCCGGGCTGTGGTGGTGGTTGCCGTGGTGATGGTAGGCATGGGGCGGGGGCTGCAGGTGCGCGTGGGGGTGCATGTGGTGGTGGCCCTGCTCCTGCCGCGAGCTCATCATCTCCATCATGTGGCCCATGGAGTTCATGTTGCCGTTGGCGATGGCTCCCGGGTGCTGGGAGAGTGCCGCTTTCAGCCTCTGGGGGGACAAAAGGAGGGATGATTAAAGCTGGCGGACGTAAATTTCAAACCAAAACAAATCGAACTATGTCCAACCTTCCAGTTCAGTTCTATCACTAGCTTTCACATGCATGTATTTTCGGTCACATTTTTAGACCTGCTTTTTAAAGACTGCATCTTGTGGTCTGATTTGTTCTCAACATTTATCTTTGACTAATCTTTGATAAATTGACTCAATCTCTTGCTTGGTTTTCTCTAGTCTTCAAATTTTGAACTGGAGCTGAAAGACACAACATTTTTGCATTGACATTGAAATGTGAACTTTCGATATATGAGGATAATCATATTGAGAAAGCAACAAAAGAAACAGGATAGATTTCCCAGCAAAAAATCCAGTAGACTATCAATAAAGCTTGACTCTTTTTGTGCTATTTCTGTCGTAATGGATCGATATCTGGCATGGTAGGTAAGTTCTCATTTCAAACAAACAAGATATAGAAATACAGATTGAAAAACGATTGAACAAAGTAAAGGCTTATTTGGTTCCGACCCCTCTCACTCATTATCCCAACACAAAGCACACACAAACAAACAAATTAACACTGTACTAATATATACAAGTACTGTACTTAGTGGGTTGAATAATAGTCATTTTAAGAAAAGTTATGTTGATTTTATTCTTTTTCATGCATACCATATTCTATTTTTACTTTTACCACTTATTTTGCACCGAGAGCCAAAGCAATTTCCTAGTTTGTGACTTCCTCACAATAGAAAAAAATAATTCATACATACAAAACAGGCCCAAACACTCTCCGACCATACACCTTCCCCATTCCGACTTTATGCTTCCACCTTTTCTCGCTAAATCTGGCTGATGTAAAGCCACAATACATTTACTATTAGTTCCATCCCGCTCAACACCTGTGTAAAACTGTAACCTATCACACGCACTTTAATCAGTCCATCCGTGCTGAAATCCAGTCGTTACTGTGCAGAGGCTGCCTGCTGTAAAGTGATGAACGGCCTCGTAAATCCTCGCGTCACTTGGAGAAATCAAAGCTAGTTAGCCTGTCCTCTGTCTATCCTTCAAAGCTGTCAGAGCCCCATTTCAGCGGCCCCTCTTTTCATATCACTAATAGCCTTTTCCTCGTTACGGCGCTCTGTGTGAGTGAGGAGCTGTCTGTGAGGTGAGCCGTGTCACTGCCGCTTTGTTGTTTTAACCAGAGTCTGGATCTAAGCATTGTCACCGTATGGTCTCCTTTAGAATGAGTTCTAATGTTGTAGACCTCTAGTGGAGTGTTTTGGGCAGGTGCAAATAGAAAAATAGGTGCAAGTTGAAAAGGAAAATGTCCAAATGTTTTCCCAGATAATTTTTTGAAAGTGATTCACAAACCTGCAATTTTATTCTTATAATGTCCGAAAGTTCATTCCATTGGCCAACATCATACTCATGTTTTTGAATATTGTCACCACTTGGAGACACCATTATGAGAGAATAATGAGACCAAAGCAACTTTGTGACAGATTTTGTTTCACTTGAAATGGCCCAGAAATGAGAGAAATTTGCTCTTATCTTGTTTTGTTTTCAGCTGACCTCCTACAGGCTCCTTGGATCGTTGTCACATGAACGTAACATATTAGACAGATTACATAAAAGTTACAAAATGTATGGAAAATCTGATTGTTGATTTGTTCGTTCAAGTGTCACACACACTAATAGAAGGAAATTGTTAGGGGCGACAGTGGTGGAGCATTGGTCTTTGAGCCTGAAGATTGTGGGTTCGAGCCCACCATAAGACCTACCTCACGACTCCCACTGATGACTGCTGTCGTGTCCTTGGGCAAGACACTTAACCCCACTTTGCCTGAAGCCCCCACTGAAAAATATCAGCTCCTGTGGACTCACCACCTCAGTGGGCTGGTGAGGATCAGTGAGGGGCTGGTGCTATGTGTACTGGGTGCAGCTCTGACTGCCACCCCCCTGACCCAGAAATGGATTAAAGGGAAGAAAATGGATGGATGGATGGATTGTTAAACAAATCAGCCCCTTATGTTATTCAATGAGTTTGTTCTCTTTCTCAATGAATTTTCTCTTCCTCTTCATAAAAAAAACGATTATATCAAACTCAGGATTCCATTTAAGTCCTATTATGTAACAAAAAACATGAAAAATAAGGAAACTTCCTTATTTGTGTTTGTATATGTATTTGTATACAACTGTAGCAGCAAACTCCAGAGGAATGTGAAAACACAAGCAGACACAAACTCCAGGGCACACTGACAATTAAAGTTAAAAAGCCAGTGCCAGGCTCTATTAGCAACATAACTCAAAAGTTATGGTCGGATGTTTGAACAATTCCAGTAAATCTCAGCAATTGGACGAGGGACAAATGATCAGATTTTGGAGGAGATCCGGATCAACGTCTGGATCCACGACTTTTTAAAAACAATGAAACTGCGCCTCTTGAGGTGGTCTGCGCTCTACGAGTGCTTCTCAAGTTCAAACATGCTTATTATATTAAAAATGCACCAATGTGATCCAGCCCTTTGAAGCCTTGCTCTCCCTGAACACATGTGTGCATTCAGAACAAGTTTCTGTTTAAATAATTAGGGCTTTTGAATAGGTTCATCAGAAGTATAAAAAATCTGATTGTAATCAATCCTAAAAGTAGTATCAAAAGTAAATACTCATGTCAACAAGAAAACATAAAAAAAGACACGTTTTCAAATAACTTCAATCAACTATAATACAACATTAAGGTCCATTACAAAAATAAAATTAAAATGCAGCTCACTGTGTGAATGAAGATAATTTAAAAAAAGATGATTGTGGTATTGATTGAGCATCAAGTATCGGGTATCAAAATCAAGTGTGTTTTGGAAAAAAGTATGAAAGGGATCCCTCGTGAATAGCCCCAAAATCACATTCTTAACACTTATACAGTATATACCCAAATTACTTGAATTTCACACTCTTGACATCTATGAAGCGTCCCTTTACTAATGAAGTAAAGAATATGTCCTGCACATAAGTCTTTTTGTTGTGTTTGGTCTGCTGTCCCTTCCCCCTCTCCAGCTGCTGTCAGTAGTCCACACTATGTCCAGGACCTGTATCTTTTAACAGCCTTCACATTCACGATTCCCACTGGGAGTGATGTCCAGCTGGTTTGGATCACGGAGCTGAGACATGGTCCGAGCTCTCGCGTCTCTGACTGTCCAGCTCAGAAAAATCCACCGCACTTAGGCCAGAACACTTTTTCATGTGTTGTTGCTGTAATATAATTTGATAAGAAAAGGCCTTAAAATCCATCATTAATCAACAATAGGTTTTTCAGTTTTAATAATAGAAAACATCAGTTGAACGAGGGGATGGAATTAGTTGAATCAGTTGTTTGTTAAAGTTCTGGCTTCAACTTCAGCCTCAGGCCTTGAGCAGTGAAAACAGGGTCATACCTGCATGTGAAAGCCTGATCCTGTCAGATTGCTGATGCTAAGCAGGACAGGGCCTGGTTAGTATTGTGATGGGAGATCTCTGAAAACACCAGGTGACATTGGCTGCAGCTGTAAAGTACCAAACTGTCACTGTGTCCTTAGGCAAGACACTTCACCCTCATAGCGTAAAGGAGTCTGGTGTGTGTCAGAATGAGTGTCGGTGGTCGGAGTGGCCAATGGCACAGATTAGTAGCCATGCTTTCAACAGTGTGCTCTAGGGCTGCTGAGGCCGGTAGTGGTAGTGTACAGAGTGAATAAATAATGCCATGTGAAGCATCTTGAGTGTCCATAAAAGCTCAATATAAGTATGATGCAAAAATGCAGGTTTTTGAGGAGTAATACATCTGTAACTAAATAACGTAGTCATTGTTACTCTCGTTATGGCAATACACTTTACTTACTCCTAACCTAGAGCGCGCGCTTGCGTTCACACTCACATACAATTAACACCCACCAAAAGAGCATGCACACACGCATGCGCACACACACACACACACACACACACACACTTCAGTGTCCCGTTCTGTTTCTTGTCTATCCTGACTTCAATGCACCTTCTGTACCTGCATTGTTTATTCTGTGTCCATTTTATTCAAATTGTTAAACACATCTACTTTTGTTTTATGAAATGCAAAATAAAGTTATCACAAAAATGAATTGAAAAATACCAAGGAAACAGTTTCTTCTTCTTACAAAGAAACGGTTTCTTCCTGGCAACGAGCGGGAAGTGCACCACACCAGAGTTTCATGTGTCTGGTTTCTAGCAGCAGTGTAACTCATGTAAACATAGGTGCACATGAAACCCGCACTAAACGATGACCTCGCCAAGCCAGTTTTCTACACGAGCAGTTTCTGTCAAACCAAAGAGATGCCGAACATAGTCTGAGTGACACAGTTGCAACATTTTGTCCACTTTGTTTTTTTTCTTGCATGAACCTAAATCCGTTTATTCTGACCATTTCACACTCAAAACCTCTAGTGTCAAACTACAATAAACTTTAACCACAGTAACTGCATTTCAACACACAAATACCGCAGCTCTAAATGATGATGACAGACGCATGACAGCTGAGAAGCCATAGAGCGAGTTTACACACGTCTCTCTCTGCTACAAATATAATAGAAATACATGCTCTTACATTTCCAAGTCTTTGCAGTGGAGTCACATCTTCAGTCCATTCAAAACACTGACAAACGTACAGCTGACCCCACACCTGCTGCTACCTTCCACACAGCTCAGTCCTCAACTCCTCCCCTGAAACCGAACACCAAACACTATGGGGCTGGACCATTTCTTTTTGTCCTTTTCAGATAAACATAGCAGTGATGATTAAATATGTGATTTATATTTCTATTTAGACTGTAGTATTGAAATGGCGTTTCAGTTTGACCAATAAAAACTTTCAATATAAAATGAAAAAAAAGACAATTATATGCAAACAAACAAGAAAAGAAACTACAAATCAGATTGGGTATCAGTATAATTTTGGTAAGGGCAGTTCATAAAGAATCATAGAGATTTAACTTTTACTGATACAAAGGTTTCCCAGTTAATTGCAGGATACTGTTATAAAATTATTATTGAGCCCATTTTTGTAAAGGAGGGGCGACAGTAGCTCAGTTGGTAGAGCATTGGCCTTTGAGCCTGAAGGTCGTGGGTTCAAGCCCACCTCAAGACCTACTTCACGACTCCCACTGATGACTGCTGTCGTTGTGTCCTTGGGCAAGACACTTAACCCCACTTTGCCTGAAGCCCCCACTGAAAGATCTCAGCTCCTGTAGACTCACCACCTGCAGGAGGATCAGTGAGGGGCTGGTGCTCTGTGACTGGGTGCAGCTCTGACTGCCACCCCCCCGACCCAGAAATGGATTAAGGGGAAGAAAATGGATGGATGGATGGATTTTTGTAAAGGTTTAACTGTTATTCTTACCGGCAGATATTGAAAGTCAAAGTCTTGAGATATTGACTTCGGAAATGAAACATCTTGATTCCCGATACGTTTTTGAAGTAAGTTGTATTTATCTTAGCTTTATGATATTTTGACTTTGATAAAATGACACAAGTTATCTCAAATTGGAAATCAGACTAAAACAATTACTGTGTTAGACTGTAGTGTTCCATTGGCAAAAATCTGTTTAATTCAAATCCTGAACATCCATTTAGGTGCAAGAGGTCTTTCAGAAAATTGATGCGAAACAGACTAAAGGTGGAGCCCTGGAACTTTATAAGAGATAGAGGACTACTAAAGTCAATAACAGGAATAAATAAAAGATGGAAGAAACTATGTAGGGAAACACTTGTGACAAGCCCGGTTGCTGTGTAGAAAGTGTCCAGGTTTAAGTAGAAAGAAATTCTGCTTATGGACTTGTTTGACATGTTCTTGCCTGGTCCCATGATTCTTTTGTACTCCACCTTATCAGCTAGTAGTTTGAAGATCATTTGATGTTTCTTAAAGGAATCATCAAAAATATTTACAAATCAGTAGTTTGCAGTGTGCCAAGTACAACTTTAATTCCATTTTGTTTTTTCTTGCCTCCCTTTATCTCGGCAAAGTCCTAAAGCTTGGCCAAAACAAATGAATCTGTTGCTGTTGCGTTTGTGTAGCCGTTGGGTCTGCTGCCAACGTGCCGGGAAGGACATGGGGGTAAGGGGAGGTGCCGCGGAGCAGTGATAAAAAGTAGGGAGAAGGGTGGGTGTGGTGGTGGGGGGCTTGATGGCTTCTGGTGTCTCGGCCAGAGAGAGTGCACATTTATTAGTGTCTCCAGATGAGGCCGGCCCGCAGCGCTCGGCTTTCCCTGTATTAAGTGAATTAGAGCCGGATCTGAGGAGCCCTAAAAGTGTCCGAGAGCAGAGGGGTCAGAGATGCTGCGATCCGGGTCAGACGAAGATAAAAAATCAATTAGTATATAGACTCGATTGTAGGGATGTCAAGGGTATTAGGGTAGACAATAATTGTGATTGCTTAATTTAATCGTAACAACTAAAAAGATAATAATCATGGTCATTTCAGAAGCCAAATTGACTCCTTTTAATTTAATCTATTGTTTGCAAAGTGCTTTTTATCTGCTTATATGGCAAGTTAGACACATACTGATTAAAATAAAAACATGGAAGGGTGTTCTAAATATGTTAAGCATACTTTAATTTCTGTGTCTTAACTTATAATTTACCGATGCAACAAACAGGATCTGTGTAATGATTTTACTATTTTAATGTGTAATTGGGAAAATGTTAGGACAGCAAATAATATCATGGTGCAATTTATCAAAAATTCTAACATTTCAAATCTTAAATGTCAAATGCATTTTTTACTTGTTCAAGTGCAGTTATTTAATCACGTCTAGAGTGAATATTTGAATATTACCAACATTACATTTTCAGTCTCATTGCAAACCTTGTAGTTTAGACTTCTCAAAGCATAGAAGTATATATAGAAATATAAGAAATACTTGTTCTAGTGAATGCAATATGTTTTCTTTAAAACATTTTGCAATTAAGGACAAATAAATAAAGAGCAATTTAGCAATAAACAAGCCCATATCATATGTAGCAAATAAGCAACGACATTTAGCGGCCCCCAAAAGTTGAGCAATACAGCTTTAATGTAGGGCTGACGTTAGTCACCAAATACATCTCTGACCGACTAAAGACATGTACGAGGCTTAAATTCCAACCAAAACAACCAGAAAACATTTAAGAAAAAAATGTGAATTAGCTTTGGAATTCAATAAAGCAACATAAATACAATCTTTTCAGTTTTGAATTCACTTCATACTTTCAATGCCATTCTCCATAAAAATATTTTTTATTCATAAAATAATGTGTCGATATTACATAATTACATATTTATCTTAAATAAATGATCACTGTATATAGAACTTATCGATCTTTTCAAGGCACTCAAAGCGCTTTACATCAACCACCAACCACCCATTGACACACACATTGATAACTCTGTGTACACACAGACGCTAGGGGGAGGTGGGTGAAGTGTCTTGCCCAAGGACACGTAGCTGCATTAACCAAAGGGAACTGCAAGCTTGAGGGTCAGCCGATGATGTTGCAGGATTGGAACAGCCAACCTTCAGCTCAGAGGACACAAGACCACTAGGATGCCAACGACCAAAGAATCAACTAAAGCAGTGTTTCCCAACCAGGGGTATTACATGGGGTACTTGAAATGATTGTCAAAACTTCTGAACATTGATATTAAGAGTATTAAAAGGGCTACTATGGCATGTTGTACAAGTTAATCCTATCAAGAAAACATCCACGCCATTTATTCTATTCTGAATGTCGAAACGAGAACACAATTCATAATAATAATTGAACTCAAGGTATGAACTCAATTGAATATAATACCTACATAATATAAACAAATACAATTAATTAGAAAATATATATATTTTTAAAGAGGCATGAGAGGAGTTATAAGTAAACTTTCCCCAAAGAAAACAATGGCAACCTTGGTATAACAGTAAAGCCTATAAACAGTTGTTGGTTGCCCAGGACCAGAATGCGTTTGACCCCTGCGGTACAAGAGACACTATTCCTCTCCTAACAACAGGGGGAACTCTTGCTTTCTGCTGATGAGGGAGTACACACAGGGCAAAAAGGTTGGGAACCACTAGACTAAACGATCCAAAACTACTTTACAGCCCTACTTTAATGAAAAAAAACTGTCCAAACGTCTTACCAGGGTCCTTGCCTATCCATGCATGCACACTGCTCTGCCGGTTCACTCTCGCTTACACTCTTCTGATCCACCTCCTTAAGTCTCTGCATCCGCGACCACAGTGACGTTAGCACAGCGCTGATGGCAGTCTGTGAGGCCTGAACACCTTCATCAGCCTTCCCCTAATGCCTCCTGAGCACATGCTAGTATTTCTCCAGACTTGACTAAGCACATGACGCAACCGCCGCATGCATTTGTCTCTAATAACAGATACAGATGCACCTCTGCCGCTGCAACACGGACGCCCCAACAAACAGTCATTAAACCAGCGCAGGTGTGAGCCTGTGGCGCAGACCTTGTCCAAACAGTTTTTCTCTGTCCGTTTGATCGTAATTAAACCGCAAAAATAAACAATATACGCTTCAGTAATTCTGTCATAAATACATAGTTTTACTATGGACAGTATGTAATGTATACTCATTACAATTACAATCTATTTTTTGTTGCTAGAATCTTCCTAGCTTCTTATTTTTGTATCTGATTTCATCTAAACAAATGTGTAGTGCTATTATTTTGTTTGAGAATGTTGTTATGTAAAAAAATTAAATAATGATATAGCCAAAACCTGCTACATTTCATGTAACAAAATGGCATCCCAAAGAAGAGAATCATAAACATAAAGAGTATGGATATCGTGCCTGTGCTATTAAATTAGGAATATCTCCAGTTACAACTTTTGTTCAGAAAAGATCAAAATAGATTTTCACATATTTGCCTATTACCTGGGTATTTAGATACAATCAAAAGGAACATTTATTTATACTACTAAAAGGGATGGATTCTTTTCGTTTTTACTATTGTTGTCTTCCTCTCCCTTAGTTTTTTGAAGGTTATTTTATGTTTCAATAAATGTCTAAACTTAGACTGTACGATTAAAGCGGTGCTGCATGATTTTCAAACACTATATGAAAATCTGTAACTTGTTCCCATCAGTCACATTATTAGGATTCACATGCATTATTTTTGTTCCCCCATCTTTAATCCAGTTTGATCATTTTAAATCGTCAATGATCATCTTGTGACTTTTATCATAAAATGCTTGTAATAAAATATTTTTTAAATAAAAATAATGCTAAGTCGTTGAAATGGGGCCTATTTACAGGAAACTAAAGAATCTGGTCAGACACATTTCATATATCGTGTCGTGTGCAGTGATCGTTGCTTCTTTATTGATTTCCCATTGCAAAAACACTGCCCACAGTTTGGTTATCTTCTGAGCTGGGACCAGCCATCTCCAGTGTGACCTTGGACCTCTCCACTCACTCGTTTTTTTAGAATGTCTCCTTTATGTGGTGCAGAGATACCAGGTGATCAGCCATTAATGATATTTATGAACGTGCGCTTTGCGCCGAACACTTGGGCTTTGACTGATGTCTCTGTGAGTGCTCCGGACAGTTTGAGCTGGTCAGATGACTTCATATCTATTAACCCGAGGAGGAGGCGGACCGGGAGAACAGAGCAGGTACAAGCACAGAACATGCTGGTCTTAAGATGGGTAAATCAAGCCCAGTGAGGTCGGGGTGAGCGCTTTCATCCCCTGCGCACTGTCAGGGGAGCCACGCACCGGCGGCGCCCATCAGCTGAAAGATTTAACCAGTGTGCAAGTCATTGTTCTTCTGCAAAAAGTCAAGAGCACATGGAAGATACTGTACTGCACTATGGCCCATGGCTTTTGTCACAGCACAAATCTTGTAATTTTATTCTTGCAGGGGTCATCAATGGGCCGTCTCCCTGCGTGACCCATAGAACTTGGAGGAGTGGACGAAGCCGGCGTCACCCATATTATTTGCCATATACAGAAGAAGACAATCTAGGTATCTGGCTAGTTGGAGCCCAATTTTTTAGATGGGCATTTGTTCTGACCTTTGTGCTGTAGCAGGAGAAGGTGAAAACGAATGTGTTACTAACATGGCTGCTAAAGCCTAGTGTATAGTCGCACGGAGCTTATGGTGGTGACGTGACGTCATTTCGTAACGCAGGGATCAGCGCAAGACCCTTGCGTAGCCTGCCGCGCACCCTCGAAAATTTCTAATGATGCTTTCACACTGGATCATGCGTTGCGTAGACTTTCAATGCTAAGACAATGGTAATGCGCGTTCGAGCTTCAAACTGCACGTCTAGGGATGCACGCACGGACTGCGCGGTAAAGACGCACGGACTGCGCGGCAAAGGCGCGGCAGAGGCGCAGGAGCGGAAAATTGACGCACGCAGGAGATAAATATTTTGATAATAAAATCAAAGTATGGCGCACCTCCGTGAACACACTGCTGTTATATAAAGTCTCTGGAAGGTCTCTGGACACAGAGACGCTGCAGAGCTGGAATATTGGAGAAGAACTTTACACAAAAAGCCGCTAGCTTAAATCCGTTAGCACCAAAGGCCGCCCGCTACTTCCGCCACTTCCGGCGGGCGCCACCGCTGGCCAGGACTTCTGGTGTGAAGACCCTTGCGTCTGAAAATTAGAGAATGTGTGTCTAGTGTGCCGCCGCCTACTACGCAGCCGCCGCCGCAGAGAAGCTCCGCCGTGATTGGTCCGTGTGTGAGTTTTGGACCAAAGCATGGAGCAAGCACGCTTAAGGCAAGCTGGCATCTGATGGTCAATTATTATGGCTCATATCTGGATTTACAAAGACAATTATTGGCTAAAAACACCAGGATCACAGAGAGCGCTAAACCGCAGTTTTGTGAGACCAAAATGGTTACTTTTCAATGAAGTCAAAACGAGTAGAAACTTTGTCTATGAGCACTTCCCTATAAGCATTTTCCATCTATACAGTATTGTCTATGACGTGAACCTGTCTCTTTCTGTACGGAAGGTGTTTGTGCCAGGGCATCTGCATTCAGGTGTTGCATGACTGAATTGGATGTCAAGCCATCAAATGTCAAGCGTATGGTAAGAAATATGTTTCTTTTATTGGGGTTTCTGGAGGCTAATGAGCCCACTTACCTTAACGCATGTTTCATTGCGCTAAAGGTAAGTGGGCTCCAGGTTCAAGTTCTTAGCACCTGAAATTATTGTAGATGCTGACTGGGAGTCCTACTATTAAACTAGTCAATAGTAGTGAAGTGGGGTCTAGTCTTAGCATTGTAAAATTTCATACAGTAAGCTTTTTTTGATGACCCTTGATTATCAATCAAAATTGTAAACTTTCAAAGCCTCTCCCAAAAATCATTTGTTTAACTCAACACACTCACCTCTCCAATTGCTACTAATCATTCACACAACAAAATATGTGTGAATTGTCTTGTTAAAAGACACAACAACAGTTCACACTTCAGTCATCTGCCCCACTGTCTCATACAATCCAACAACTAGCTTCTGATACCTTTCTTGACTCGTAGTAGGTCTGCCCACCCTCTCTCTTTACTCGCTTTTGCATTTGTTATTTATCTAACTAAAGATAATGTATTGTTTTTTTAACACATGCATCTACTTTTTTCCCTTGTTTAGACATCTCATTGTGATATACATCTTTGTCTCATTGTGTTTTTAAAACGTTGAAAGAATGAACTCTCAAGAATAGTATAATAGTCCATACAACCCAACTCTAGACTTATGCAGACATATGCAGCCTGGCTCTATAACTTTACCAAACGACAGAGGATCTAGTTCCACTGTGCTGCTGCCCACAAGACCCAGTCAGCCTCTGTCCCCTAAAAACTCCACATCCCCATTAGCCTTGTTTTTTTATTAGATTTCCCTTTTTCCCAGAGTGGCCGTAACATCCCCCACTCCTCTCAGCACACACCTTTGGCCTGCGCCTCCCGCCCCCTCTGCTGGTGCTTGCCAAGACCTGGGGACTGTTAAACTGATTTCCTCGGGGAGCGGCGAGGCAGACTGTCTGATGGGAGTGTTCGGCTTGAAACGCCGTCTTTCCCAAATCCTGGTCTGGGCACATCATCACAGAGGGGCTGAGTGGGTTATCGTGAGTTAGCGTGGGTTAGCATGAACGAGGTGTGTTTCCACCTCCTCAGAACAACATGACATTACTCATTTGTACCCAGTACACCTTTGCTTATGGTTATGGATGGACAGCATAACATTTCTAATATATTACAATTGTGACACGTTTTCAAGATACTGGAGGTGCATCTTTTGCTCTTAGTTTGGCAGTATTTGAATGTGCAAAGACACAATGCGATTCAGGGAAAAAGAGCATTAAAGGGGAACAAAATGTATTCTATCCAAGATTTTGATATAATTTGGTAAATGTTCGTAGCAGTTTTCAATTGTAGCTTTGTGGTGTCTGCCCCCTAACCCCCTTTGTGGTGTCAAAGTTCCACTGCCCCCTACTGACCGGGCGCTAGAACTATGTTGTTTTCCGTCGTCTAAACGCTGTGTCTGGAGCCTGGTCTCCACAGTGTCTCCACAGTGTCTCCTCAGCGTCTCCTCAGCGTCTCTGTCTAAACGGGGTTTCAGTGTGAAAGCTGGGAAACGTATTATTACTATACTTACCAGTCCTACTAGTTAATGTGTTTTGTTTTTGAAAGATCGGGGTGGATCCTAATTTAAATTTTTCCAAGAATGCCAAGCCCTCATAGGTAGTAATAATACTTTGTTTTGAATGGCTAATCACGATGGCAACAGTCCTCATTTCTCATCATTCTGAAACTAACAGTAGTGCCATACTGACGTCCACAGACCATTATAGGCCTACATGGTCGCACATGGAGTGGCAGTTGTCCCCGCGCCAGGCTGTTTGGTGGTGCTCTGTGGCGGAGGCTCTCAGCAAGCTTCACGCCCTCAGACCAAGTACGCTCCAAAACATGTGCTCATTCTCTTGGCAGCCTCTCCGCCCTGTCAACTTAATGGATGGGCCTCTGACTCCGGCCTGCATATCCCCACTGTTCCCCTCTTGTAAAGCCCTGCTCCGGCACAACCTTCCCTGTTATCACAACAAGCTTAGTGTGAATTAAGAAAACACCCAACCAATAAGATTCACAGGACCTGATAGTAAAAGGAATGTCAATCATTTGCAACTACGCCGGTCATGTTAATTACTTCATTGATTTAGTGTTTATTTTTTTTAATTGTCAACTTTCTTTGTAAAAGTTCAAAATATTTTACAATGTGGTTTATTGTGATTCTTCTGCTATATTGTAATTTTACTAGTGGCTTAAAGTAGTTTCAATAACAAGACTGCTCTATTGGCAACTATAATGACTCTGCATATGGGCTTCATGCAAGATTAGAGATTTTTTTGAAAGCAACATCCTCATTGGCAAAAGTTGTCTGTGCCCCATTGTTGGTGACCTCCAGCCTCCTTTTTGCCTCCCTCCAGCTCCAGCTCCAGCCCCTGTGGTCTCGTCTGCCCACCGATGGACGTCAGTTCCCCAAATTCTATTTGAGAGACGTGAACCGTGATAAAATGGCCTTTTACATCTGTCCCTTCAGCGTGGCCGAAACAACAGGCCTTCCTCCCAGTGCAAACAGATGCCACGCTCTTGCACAAACCCATGACCCAGTCACTGAATGCACACAGTGGCATTTTGCACCCGGACTCAGTTGCTACAACAACAGCAGCTTCTTCACTTGTGTCTATGAATTATATACGTAGCTAACCTTTCATGTCCTGATATTAAGTACGCGCTGTATAAAGATGTCAAGAACAAATGTCTATGTCATAGAGTTAAGTGCAGCCAGTGGAGAGTTGGAGTCTGAAAATCAATTGCTTGTGGGCACGGAGATCTTCTCTTCCCCCGCCATGAATACTTGTAAAACTATCTTGAACCACAGGGTGAATCATATGGTAAGTTGGATATGAGAATTAAAAAATGAAAAATAGAAAGGTTTTGGCATTTATTTTCAGCAATTTTATTTTAGGAAAGCCCCACTGAGATATCAGAACCTCTTTTTCAGGGGAGATTTTTTTTAGAGGTAAGGGAATCGCAGCACCTGGAAGAAACCTATTACACAGGAAGAACTTGGAAACTCCACTCAGAGCGGCCCTGTTCCGACACTGTCCCTGTTCCATTGGCCTCATTCAAAAACAATAATGCCCAAAGCTAAAGAAGGATTTTAGGCCTTCCTTTGAAACCACAGAAATAACTATGCAATAAAATCTATGTAACTAGTTTCTTGCTCTCAAACCTGTTTGGTTCTAACATTAGTTTTCGCATGCATGTATCTTCAGATCATATAAGATCAGCTTATTCAGTGAAAAAGAGAAGAGCCCTCACCCAGCCAATCAGCTCTGTATGTAAACAATCAAATGTTTTGTAGAGCTTAAACAAGACTCTTTCTGTTGATACAAATGTACAACAAAGCAAAAGTTGATTTTGCATGTTCTGTTCCTTTAAAGTTTTTCCAACTGATCTCAATGTATTTCCCCTCTTTCTTCAACCAAAAAAAAAGTAATATACAGTGTTTAGTGAGGAATGGCTGGATGCGTACATACAGCTGTGCTCACGGTCTCTCCTCAATGACATCATACCACAACAATGCCACCATTCACTCTTCACACAGATGTTTCTACAAGACCTGGAGTACTGCTTTTTTCTTTCACCGCATACTCCTCCTCACAAGTACATTCGCCCCGAGGTGCTAAGTATACTACAGCGCTGAAATATGCAAGGAAGATGTAACGCTGTCAAATTCCATTGCTAATGCTATGTGCAATCGTTCATTCAAAACTAGATAAAATCAATCTTTATCTCCCGCTAACAAGACTGTATTTTTTGCAATCTGTCAGAAATGTGTCAAAACATGCTTGGAGAGGTCTGGTTTGCATTTGGCATAGCACACAAGGTCAAGAACAACAGAATTAGTTGCAATTTACATCACTTTATAACCTTAACAACATCAACCTTTTAGCAATTTTTTGTGGAATGTTGGGAGACAGAATCAGAAGTTGGCAGTCTTCGACCAGACAAATTCATTACAATATTGAAACCATCAATCCAAAATAATTACCAGAAATCCCCCACTTTACAAAAAAATCTAAATGAAAACTTACACAAAAGATATGCAACTGTATCCTTGTTGTACCCATACAATTGTTTATTCGCACAATAAAAGCATTCAAACCAATCTAGTACCTAGCTTAAACTGTACTCACAAGACTTGAATTGAATGCTAAATCAACTATTTAAGCAATAAAATTAAGCCTGCTGGTGATACGAGCACGCATCACCAGAATGATTGACAATTGGGAGGACCAATAGTCTTGACGATCCACCCAGAAGTAGAAAATCCTCCTGTATACCTTTAATGAAAAGATAAAAAAACTGGGAAATGTACTTATTAATTATGTCAAAATACACCAAATATCAACATTCTCAGAATATGTGCTTCCTGCTTTCTGATAGATTTTTGCAGTTTTCATTTTACAAATGAATGGATTAGTACTAATATAATATAAAGACCTGAGCAACCAAACCACTAAAGACTCTTTAACGGCCCTAATCAAGACCCAGAAGCAAGACATGTGGATTTGACAATGTTTAAAACCAGGTTAAAAACAGTTCTATTTAGCTGTGCATACAACTGAGGGATAATATATTTTTATCTTTCTTTTTAATGTACTGTGAATATTTATGTTTTTAATGCTTTCTTATTTCGTTCAGCTTTGAGTTGCCTTGTGTATGAATTGTGCTATACAAATAAACTTGCCTTGCCTTGCCATTTTCAATTGTTTTCAGTGCAATAAATTACCCTGTATGCAATCAATGTTGTTAATTTTTGGCTATAATCTAAAACCTTGTCTTTTCAATTTGAATCATTAGTTTAGAGAACTTTTCTTCTTAGACCGAATAATTTTACTACTTTCAATTAAGCCATTTGCACACCCGGCATTACACCTCACTGCATGGCAGCTTCCCATAGACAAGCACATTCAATCATTCATTGCACATATAGAATTCTCATTTTCCAATTGAGTATCCCACAGCTGGATATAATTCCTAGCTATTATATTAAAAACTGTAAAAGTGGGACATAGGAATTGTAAAAAGAAAAAAGTTGCCTTGGCACAGTCGGTACACACTTCACTTATTGGTTCTCAAGTGTGCTATGAAATGTTTCTTTAAGTGTAGCCGTGTTTTTTTCCCTCCTTTTTTGCCCAAGTAAAAAGGAGGACATTTAGAGCATGCCAGGAATTATGTCATCCGGCTCGCAAATGCCAGCTCCAACCGGGCTCGCGAGAGAGGGGGGGCGTACATATTGTTTACCTCATAAAAAAATCAGCACCTCGCCTGATGCTTAGTGACAAATTTATTGTTCTTAGTAACAATGTAAACAACGCGTAATTCAAAGTTAATACGTTACACATTTCGGCGTGTGCGAGCCAAGCCATGTCTAATTGAGGAGCATAGCAAAGTGATGTCTGACAAAAAAAGAAAGTAGACACGCGTTGATGTAAACCGGCCTGATAAGGCAAAGTTTGGGCTTCCCTTGTTTTGGAGGAGGATTCTGCGAACGTGTGCACGATGTTATCAACACCTGGTTTACAAAACTTGTAGATTTCATATATTATATACTTGATTATTTTGTATAATCATAAGCCAAGGATGTCCAAACTCAACCAGACAAAAAAGATATGCAAATGTACCCTTGTTGTACCCATACAATTGTTTATTCGCCAAAAAGTGGGCACAATAAAAGCCTTCAAACCAATCTAGTACCTAGCTTAAACTGTACTCACAAGACTTGAATTGAATGCTAAATCAGCTAGGGGTCGATCCTGGGACCTCTTCTGTTCAATTTCTACATGCTGCCGTTAGGTCAGTTAATACGCAGAAACGAAGTGTCCTATCACAACTATGCAGACGACACTCAGATCTATGTCTCACTGACTGCAGGAGAACATGGACCAGTGGACTCACTCCTTCACTGTATCCAACAGATCAGTGAGTGGATGCAAAACAACTTCCTTCAGCTAAACACAGACAAAACTGAAATGATTGTCTTTGGTCCCCAGAAACAAAGAGAGAGCGTCATCTGTCACCTACAGTCTCTCTCCCTAAAACCTTCAAACAAGGTCAGAAATCTAGGGGTAATACTGGACTCAGACTTAAATTTTAATAGCCACATCAAATCAGTAACATCAGCAGCTTTTTACCATCTAAAAAACATTGCCAGGATCAAAAACATAGTGTCTAAAGCAGACTTGGAGATTCTTATCCATGCATTTGTCTCCAGTAGGTTAGACTTTGCAATGGCCTGCTCACAGGTCTGTCCAAACAGGCTGTAAAACAGCTGCAGTACATTTTGACTAGAACCAGAAAGTACCACATTAGTCCAGTCCTTTAGGTCTCTGCACTGGCTTCCTGTGGCTCAGAGAATAGACTTTAAAACAGCTCTGCTTGTGTACAAGTCTCTCCATGGCCTCGCACCAAAATATATTAGTGACATGTTAGTACCATACGAACCAGCCCGGACTCTGAGGAGCACAGGGACTGGACTGTTAGTGCCCAGAGTCAGAACTAAACATGGGGAGGCTGCTTTTCAGATTCATGCTGCTAAAATCTGGAACAGTCTTCCTGAAGATGTGAGACAGGCCTCCTCTCTGACAATGTTTAAAACCAGGTTAAAGACAGTTCTGTTTGGCTGTGCATACAACTGAGGGATTTTCTATTTTTATCTTTCTTTTTAATGTTTTGTGATTATTTATGATTTTAATGCTTTCTTATTTTGTTCAGCACTTTGAATTGCCTTGTGTATGAATTGTGCTATATAAATAAATTTGCCTTGCCTTGCCTTGCTAGGGCCGACAACCTGGATTGCAAAAACGGTTTTGACTGGATACTTTAAAATGGAATGTGATGTCATGTCCATATTGATTCACACCACAGCTACATTACAGATAAAAAACAAATGTCAGTAAATACAAATTAAGTTACATTTTAAGATTTATACAAACTACAATTTCTTTAGTTGGAGAACGCTGTATTGTTGCTGTGCCTTGAAAAAGTCACTGATTCATATGCTAATTTCATGCATTGCAAAATCCATGTAGTGAAATCAATATTGCATACACTTTATTTTACTTTAGTGTATTTCATCTGCCGTTTGCATCAAAACTTCTATTCTTTTAAACCTGCACACTCAAAGCGGGAGTATCCAACTTGTCTGTTCTGTTCTTCATGCTGTTATGTTTTGCATATTTGTAAGACAGATGTTTTGGGATGCGAGCTGATTGGTTTGGGTTAGGGTAGTCCTCTTTATATTTCTTTGCTCTGTAAAAGCAAATCTAAACACGTGACAGAGGCCAAAAAAACAGAAGCGAACTCTTTTCAGAGCAAGGAACAATTTAATGGATTTCCAAAGTTCTATTTTTTGTTTTCTGTTAGGTACCCTGGCTTTAAGACTCTTGAGTGTGTGTAAATATATATATATATATAATCAAAGGTAAAAATAAAAACACATTAAAATATCAATTATGAACACAGTGTTATTGATCAAGTGCAGAACATTTGAAATGCAAGCGTGGAAGTTCACAACAAAAGTGACTAATGCACATTGAATTCTCTGTTGTAACATGGGTAGGTGTGTGGCTGCACGGCGGAGCACACACACACTGTTCACAGAGCCGTGTGGGGAGCTGACGTAATGCTCTGGCCCGGCGCTCTGTGGAACTTGGCCCGCGCTCTGCCCAGTTTCCTCCACTCCGCGAGGGTCAGTGATCCCACACAAGCACCAGTGCATTACACACAGCACTCCATTCTCCGGCCAGCAGCGGAGCAGAACCCAACCACAACAGAACATGGCCACAATAAAAGCAAACAAATGCATCCACTCTACTCATTCCAAATTTTTCTCAGGACAGTCTCACATAAAATTGCAATATTTATATATATAGAGTGTATAGTGCATAGTATATTGTCTCCGTAGAGATATCTTCATTGGCCCCATCCTGCAATACCACTACAGCAACCTTTCAGGAAAGCACCTGATTGGTCCATTATGATTGGCATATCTGAATAATTGTGCAGCATAAAACAAGAATATTTTGATCCTAAAATCATCACAAGATGCACAACCACAAAACATGGCAGAAGTTTCCACCATAAAGCAATCAGAACCTCAACGGCCAATAACTATGAAAACTCACAAACATTGATAAGTCGCTCTCACTCAGAACACAGAACAACAGCAGCACAGCCTACCACTTAAATATTGCCACTTAAGGAGAGACATGGAAGGACAAAGATGGCACTGATGCACAGATATATGGTCCACAGGCCGGGGAGCGCAAACAGAGGACTTACAGTGAGATATGGGTCCCCCGAGGGGCCACAGCAGTCCTTCGGCTCATTAACTATTTACACCAGAGACAGGGCTCCCGGCTGCTCTGGCCCACCGCAAAATCAATTAGCCTTCATTAGCCCGGACTCTGGGGCCAAAGCATGCTGCCCCTCACAGACAGACGGACAGGCAGGGGAGGGTTAATCCTGCTCCAGCCCGCCTCCAGTTACAAACAAATACTACAGGACAACACTCAGCCCCTTCAAAACGAGGGACAGAAGCCAAGTCAGACAAGCTGATGTCTTATGTCTTCAACACAACAAAGCTGTTGAATCTGAAGTGGAAATGTTTTGTTAAATTTACTAAAATCTGAAACATTTTCATTAATATATTAATTTGGTTTAAATATTTTATAAAGTTAACAATTTTAATGAACGGCATTTCAGGACTTCACTCTCTTGATGAATGTGGACAATGAGAAGCCTTAACCTATTTGTTTTTCACCAGAACTGACCATTTGACTACCTACTAAACTAGAGTCTCTAAGAAAGAAATTCGTTTGTGAATGATCTTTATAACAGATTGGGAACAAACAGGGTGAGAAGGGAATAGGAGTCTCCTCTGTATCTAATTTGGATTCGTTTTGCTTTTTTTTGTTCCTACATATGGATTCTATTCACAAGGTAGATTTTAAACTGTCCAGGACAGTTAGCATTTAAGACTGATGTAATAGTACAAATGATGAGTAATATTGGGTACCCTGAACAAGATCCAATCCTAACTAATTGCAGGTATAATTTGCAAATTACAAATTGTGGCAAATATGCAGGAAACATGGATTCAAAGGTTATCCATCAAGCTCATTTATCTCACAACGTCTATCTGTTAAAGGCATGTCAATCAGAGCTCTTCTAGGATGCTGTTCTCCCAACGCCAGCACGGAGCAGAAAGAGTGCATCCAGGGTGTGGGGTTACAGTGCAGAGATTTCCCATTGGTGGAAAGTCAACATGGCCGGGGTAATGTGATTAGAGGCGGATTGTGGACGTCGCAGGGGACACATGGGCCTGATCATGGCCCAGTTATCCGATAGCAAGTCCGTATTTATCGACCTGGCCTGAACGCGGATATTACAGGCATTAGAGACCTACTCCATACTTATGAAGCCCATAGTAAGAGATGGGGTCTTGATAACTAAATTAAGACTCTCACTTTTTGTGCACAATCATCAAATTCCATCAGTTGCGTTCAGACATCAGGGAGCTCTATCTCAATTGATCCTCATTTGGTTGTTGTGCTTTGTGTCTCAATGTTTAACTAACCAGAAAGTTGCCTGACCAAGAGGTCTGCAGCTATTTAGTGACTGCATGTGTTTTTGGGAGGCCCAGTCGGGCATTTACAATTCAATTACCCCGATAGAGCAGAAAAAAAGATGTATCTGGATGACGGCCAGAGGAGAGATAAGCCTAATACACTAATATTGTGTTACCCCGAGTGTTACCATAGGAACAGCTGAGGAGATTCAAAAGACTACAAAGACAATCAATCTTGAATGCGCAGGAGGAAGAGAGAGAATTAAATGCCCTGGGAATGCTCCTGCTCTCCTTTATCAGAGCCATAACTCTTGTAATGACCTCTGCTACCTCTGCCTCTCCACCACACGCTGAACTCTCAAACACAATGAGCACTTTTCATTAGACTCTGTGATAGCGCTGTCTCTTCTGTCCTAACACAGACGTTTACACTTTTAGGGTTCAGTTTGAAACAGTGATACATTACTAAGCACGACGATTGTAACTCTCAAGTAGGACTTAAACTGAGGGAACAGGTGTGTTTAGTCTTCTCTGTTTCAGCTGAGACCTGTGGTCTCACTCGTGCTCCAAACGTGAGGAATGAGGTCATTTGATTTTCCCACCGTGTTAAACTAGTGCTAACAAGTTGCAGAACTTACAGAACATGTTTGGTACATTAAGATATACATCAGGCCGTCAGTGGGCAGCGCAGCCAAATAAAGAGGTCTTTATTCAGCCTCCGCTGCACTGGCAGGTTCAGACACAGCTTTGATTGCAAACCTATGATGAAATCCACACAGGCCTGGAGTGCAGTGCTGCTGGCACCACTCACTGGAAAAAACTGTTTAAATGTGTCCAATATACATCCAGCACAATGTGCGTTTAGGCTCACCATTTTGGCCTCTGAGTGCATTGCGGGAATGTGAGTGGAGCAGGAGTTGCTGTGGGCCGGCCCGTGCATGCCCATCATATTGGAATCCATAGACATATGTCTCTCCATCTGAAGATGACAACATTAGGAAAAGTCATTCACACACAGTTTATACACAATCTACAGTAGTTTAATAATTCCACACACTACAATCCACATTTCTTGTTTTTAAACTCTGGGTGAATCACAGCACTATCTATCCCATACAGCTATAAAAGATGAGAGGAACAAAAATCCTTTTTCACACGACCGACTCTTGCCCAGTGCAGCTCTGTGATGATAACTGACCCAAAACAGGAAGCAAGCACAAAAGAACTTAACACAGGAAGCGAACCAGGGTGTGTGTTCTCGGAGGCGAGCAGCGAGTGTCAGTCAGGCTAACACTTCAAACCAAAGTCTTTGGAAGGCCATGACACACTAATTCAGGCATATCGTCATCCTTACTTCAATTATACCGGCTCTAACCAAGTACATGTAAGACAGGATTTACACAACAAAGTGATAGTTCCAGAATTATGGATGCATATTAGACCCATAAGAACGCACAAAGGCGAGGCTGACGGTGCTGTTGCTCTTTCACTGAGACCCCTCCTAACCCCTCCCTCCTCTTGTCCTTAGAGACTCAGCTCTGGAGCTTGACACACAGCCGTAATTGCACTAAGTGTGTTTTGTGTAAAAATATCACCCAAACCTGCAGCCTTTTCCTGAACCGTCAATCTTCCCCAGAAAAGCACAGCTCCTAATTTAATAAACACTGCAGATGTTTGTCCTCACAATAAGCAGAAAGACATATAACAATGGTAACATTTCCATAATGTCACAGTATGTTAACTACTACAACTGTCTATACTAAATTAAATTTCTGGATAAACATTCATAATATGTTATTGCATTATTGAATAACATTTACATAAAGACACAAAATGCTGAGGTACCTAATTCTCAAACTACAAGGATTAGGAGTGAAACTGCAGATAAATTAAAGTAGTGATAACTACCCTTGCTAAGAAAGTTCTCATCTCAAACATACATTGATTTGAGCAGATTTTCATGATCTATCAATGGAACAACCCGTTTTGTCCTTTAAACAATAAATTACACTCTGTTAAACTTTTATTAAGATGAACAAGAGACAATTCAACTTTTCTACCCAATACTTAACTTTTTGTCATACAATAAATCATTTGCTTTGTCCCAGCCCAAAGAATATCAACTCAAACCACAACATGCTGTCTTAATTTTATTGGAAAACATTTCATCTTTTGGCCTGAGAGCTGATTGGCTAATTGAGTGGGTCCTCTCTTTTTCACTTTTCTGCCTACAAAGTTCTATTTTTTGTGGTTTGAAAGGTACCCTAGTTTTAAAGGTAGACTATGAGTAAAGGACTTCTTGTCAAACTAAAAAAGAAGCTACCATATGTTACTGCTAAGACTGAAGTTCTCTGAGCTGTAACAGCCAACCACAAAAAACCTGCGCTGGGAGAGAAAAAAAAAACCTTTGAAGTATATTAACTTGCAAGGCTCTTTCTTACATTTGAAAAGCACAAAGACCGCTCATTGTGGTCCAACTCCTTTACAAAATGATTTCTTCTTTATTTATCATTATACATAGAGAGGGCTGACAGAAGTATAACAATATCTGTTATAAATCAATCTTAAAACTAGCATCTAAACTGGATACAATATACAGTGTGTTGTCCAAATAGAGCATTTTTAATAAAATCGAGTATTTTTTTGGATATCAAAATCGAGTTTGAAATGTTGCTATTGTTATACCTAAATAACCAGATTGTTGTTGGAAGTTGGAAGTCTGTGATTGGTGAAGTTCCTGTAAAAGGACAGATTGTGTGCTGGTACTCACTGGCATGAGCACGGAGGAGCCTGGCATGGCGGGGTCTGGCAGTGTTCCAGGCATGGAGGCAGGCAGAGGCTGTCTCTGTCTGTTTCGATGCAGCAGCGACGACAGCGAGCCGGGGACAGGCCTGAGGACACATATGCAGAGACAGATGTCATCATGCGTTTGCATCAATGGTCTTAACAATAAGAACTGTTGCCACGGTGATTAAAATTTTTAAAACTAAATTCCCCAAAATGAGTAAAATGGGAAGATGAAGAGCAGTCATTGATGTGTGTTTGCAAGTAAACTGTAGAACTTCCCCCTGGACTGCCACCTTAAATTGGTGGGGGAGTTTGAGTACTCAGATCATCCTGGGAGCTATGTTGTCTGGGGCGTCATGCCCCTGGTATGGCCTCCCATGGCAAACAGGTCTTGGGTGGTGAATCAGACGAAGCGCAGTCCGAAGCCAACCATGGATAGAACTACTATGAAACCAGTGACGTCGCCCGGCATGGCACAGCTGGGACCCCACCCTGGAGCAGTAAGGGATGCCGTCAGGCTGAAGAAGGAGTCCTATCAGGCCATGATGGTTCGTGGGACTCCCGAGGAAGACCCAGGACACGCTGGAGGGACTATGTCTCTCAGCTGGCCTGGGAACGCCTTGGGGTCCCCACGGACGAGCTGGAGGAAGTGTGTGTGGATAGGGGGGTCTGGGCGTCTCTGCTTAGACTACTGCCCCCGCAACCCGGCAACGGATGAAGCGGAAGAAAATGGATGGATGGATGCTGTAGAACTACAGATGGCTACAATCTTGTGTAATTACTGCTGTTCATTAATACACACCATCTAATCCAAATAAAAAAATAAGTATGATTAATAAACTAAAGCCCATTTTTTAAGTTTAGACTACTCATCTAAAACATACTTAAGATCCTGCCCTAGTAGATATTAAAGAAAAAAATACTACACATTATTTTGTTAAAGTAGCAACTTAAATACTCATTGAGAAAAATTTGCATCAATACAGCAAATATGACATGGCCAGTGGCATGCTCTGCTTTTCTGGACAGCTGCCAGGAGTCCCTCGATCCATGTTGGCTTGATAGGACTCCTTCATCAGTTTTACCACCAGGGTCCAGAACCAGGTTTGGGGATTGCTGCTGGGACCAGCACAGAGACCTTGCAACCACAGAAGTCCAATAACTGAACACAACTCAGGTTAAGATTGGGGACCGTTCTTCCTGATCACTCCTCTCCAAGTGTCACTGGTGTTTCCCATAAGGGAGTTGAAGTTACCCAGGACTCCATGAAGGCCGGCTACTCTACTCTGCTGTTTGGCCCATAGGCCGCCACAACAGTGAGAGACTCGTCACCGGGGAAAACTTCAACGCCTCGGTGGCTAAGATGCGAGCAATGAGTGGGCCCCAGATCACAGCCTCTCCCCGTGAGAAATGTACGAGCTGTGCGTGGAGGTGAAGCCTACAACCTCTAGTCGGTTTCCCTTAACTTCCTCCAATCAAGCTCCCCATGGTCTACTATTAAACAATAAAATGGTTTATTATACGGCTCCTCACAGCAGCAGTAGAATGCTCCATTGATTTGAATGTAATTTCAAAACGTTCTACCGGTCATTATTTTCTATAACGGACCTCTCAAAACAATAATGACCGCTGCCCATGGCAACGCTCTCTCTGCTTGTCTTTCAAATGCGTGGATAACTCCGCAAGTAGTTCCGGCCACTCCTGAGCTAGCCACGCTCAATCAACACACTTAAATGTTAATCGGAGAATACTTATACATATACATTCTTCACACACGTGCACGGAAATTTTCAGAATTTTCTGGTCTTGTCTTCAAGACAAAAATACTATTTCTCTGCGTCAAAAAGCGATCGTGAAAAACCCGGAAGTAGTTCTGGCCGCTCAATAAACGCAAATGCCAATCAATCAACGCAATGAAATGTTAATCGGAGAGTAATTTATACATATCCAGTCTTAATACAAGTGCACGGAAGTTTTCAGAATTTTCCGTTTACGTTTTCATGACAAAAACACTGATGTAATGCGAGAAAAGGCGATCCCGAAAAACCCGGAAGTAGATACCGGCACATTTTAAGATACCGGCACATTTTCGGACACATTTGCAGAGGATCGAATTATGGATTTAGGTTAGGTTTATGTATGGGTCACTCACCGCTGATGTTCAGAATTCTTTGTTCAGTTTTCATGCAGTTCCAGAGAGTTCTAGTTTGGAAGTTGCCAGCCTAACTGTTGCCCGCGGTTGCCGAGCAACGGGAAAACTTTTTGGGACTACTTTATTTGTTGTCATTAAATAAACTTTTGGCATTCATAAAAGTGATCTGAAGTTTATTTTGTGTGTTAAGTTGGTACAAAGCAGTATAATAAGGAAATAAGTACCTTCAGGGCGGAAGCAGACCCCTCCGCTGCGCGTCGGGGTCCGCTTCGCCCTGTCGGTACTTATTTTCCGATAATGACCTGTAGGCTATACATTATCCCTTACATAATAGTATGGAAGTATAAATGAGTAAAACACTTCATTTCTACCTCATTTTCTAATTTTGTAGAATTAACTACATTTAGCTTACTCGCTTTTTGAAAAATAAACTATGGCTATAACTGATGGATGACAAGTAAACGGTTTATGAAGAGGAAAAGCTAAAGCTAGCATCAAGCTAACAACTGTTACAACTGTTTCGTCTTACTGTTCACTTGTTTCACGACTACAAACTGAAATATTTCCTTGTAAATATCAAAAGCTTGTTACCTGTACATGGGTGTCCATAATAGTTGGTTATTCCATAGAAAGTATGGGTTTTCCTGAAGTGGATTAAACATGTTTCCTGAGTAGCAGTTAAACATTTTTGCTTACTTGTTGCTATGGCGATGACAACTGTCACTGGGCAATAAAACAATGTAAGCAAAAAATATATAAAAAAGGAAAATTATTATTATTATACTTTACTTTTTACAGTATCATTTTTAACACTAAATTGTAGATCAGTAGTTTGTGAAATGTATTCTCTTTTTAGATGCTGCTAGTAAAACATGGAAAATTAGAATATCATTCTATTATTTCTGTTTTTTACAGCTGTGAGCCCATTATCAACATTATACCAAATAAAGGACATATATCTTACTGAGTCAGTTTTATATCAGTTTCACATGAAATTGAATTACACAATTTCTGTTTGTTACAACATTGTTGTTTTCAGTTTCCAACTAACTAATATCTGAAAAAGTGTTTCTCCACCAGGCAAATTCTTTACACCTGTGTGTCTTTGTTTGTATTGTGTTAAAGCCCTCTCCTCCTACAAAAACATATATATATATTTATTTCACCTTTATATAACCAGGAAAGTCTCATTGAGATTAAGAACCTCTTTTCAAGGGAGTCCTTGACCAAAGTTACATACATTACAGATTATAAAACAGTTACATTTATACAGTAACTGTTATACATTTTATAAAATAGTTAGATAGCATTTCATAAAATTACGGATTATAAAAACAGTTACATTTCTACGAGGATGTCTCAAGTGCTCTCAATCTGGATCTAAAAACATTTAATGAAATAAATTCAGACAATTTCCAGTCTTTTTGCAACACGTTCCATGTAGAAGGAGCAGCAAATACAAAAGCTTTTTTCCCAGCTCTGTGTGTGGGTAAAAGGAGCAGAGAACAACAAGAGATCATTTGACCGCAAACCATATGAACCAACATCTCTTTGTGTGAGTAAATGGCAGATGTAAGAGGGCAGCAGACCAAGCATAGCCTTATAAACAAATGTGCAGTGTCCAAACCTTCTGGTGGACAAAGAAGGCCATCCCACTGAAGAATATAATTCACAGTGGTGAGTCAAGGCTTTGCAGTTCGTAATGAACCTCAGAGAAGGATGATACAAAGTGTCAATCTGATGGAAACTTTGAGTTGAGGCATTCATATATATATCAGGTCTCCATAATCTAAAATAGAAAAAAAAAATTGCAGTAACAAGTCGCTATATATTATGTATTTTTAACCTCAGAAATTACATGACATTTGAAAATATGAAATGCCAAAGTAAAGAATGGGCCAAAAACAACAAAAAATGCATAACATTTGTGCTTTAACAGTTTATACACTTTACTACTTAATATCAATCAAAATTTGTAAATCAATAACTCTCAGGCCGAGTCAGTAAAACTCAATCAACCTCAAGCTTTTGGAAATTAGCACAAACAGAAACATTTAGGGGAGCAGTGTTCAGGCTTAATGTAATCAATGACCACATCACAGCGGCTCGTGTTACCCTGCGGTCGAGCAGTGACGGCCAAATAGGTTATACCAACTCTAACTGCCCCCCACCTGAATAAATATCAGTATTTTTCTAGAGCTAAATATGTGCATTTACTCAGACATTTTAGATTGCTCCATACACACAACCTCACAGCCATTACCATTCGAACTGTGTGTCAGCCCTGTCCAACATCCCAATTTATCACTATCCCACTAGTTTAACTGCCTGTGCGACATCTGAGCGAATGCAAACAGTTCCACATGGGAAGAGTCATGAAAGTACAATGAAGGTCCACAGCTCTGTATGCCTCAGACAGCTCAGAAATAAGGCCTATACGTTTTTTAATACAATTGCATGTATTGTTAGTGTTAAACTGTCACAATAGCCTCATTCCCACTCCGCAAAAACAGGAATTTTGTCCAAAAACCCAGAGGCACGCTTTCCTTACACACGATACGGGGTGGTGTGTCGTAGCAACACCCCATTTAACCAGATTTGTGATCTAGTATTTTCTCTTAGGAATGTTGAGTGTGAACACAAGGGAGTAGAAAGCCATGCAATCAAAGGTTAGGCTGTTTCACACGCTTTTCTTTCCATTATAAAGTTGTCTTTACAAAAAATATGTTTGCTTATCACTGCACATGGATCATAAACTTGACAGTCCATTTTAATACCATTCCCTCCTGGGTGCACTGTGCTGTTAATAGAGAAGACGTCTTTTCTTTTGACACGTTCTTGTCTTGGTGAGAAGTGTATTAGCTAGGTCCAGCCTTTTTCCACAATCCTGGATCCAGGATTGTGGAAACCTTTTCCACAATCCTGGGTTGTCACGCCATTTCAACATGGGTC